CTCTCTCTCTCTAAGTTAGGTTGCACGCAGGGTGAATATGACCCCCTCAGGATTTGTAATTTGTCAACTTTTAAGTCTAAAATGTTGAACTGCTCATTTATGACTCATGTTAGTCATAGAAGACACAAGAAAAAAGCCCCACAAACTCTTTCAAAGTTCTGCAAGCATAAATCTCCCCCCCCCCCTTACTATAGTTCTTGCTATGTCCTTGAAAATAAATAAATACGTGCCGAGTGACTGCAATTTCTAGAAAGAAGCCAACTCGATACCAAAAATCCTTGTCATAAAACTACAAAATCATTGCCGTGAGACCATAAACCACGTAAAATGACATGATACGACATGACATTTAATTTACGGCGTGCACCTCGCAATATCATAATGTCCGAAGAGAAGTCCCGAGTGCAGGTGTTGTGATGTGACTGACGTGACGCTCGACCATGCGGCTGACTTCACTTCCGGTCCTGCACTCGAGATGAAGGCGCACATCAAAAGGGCTCATCGTGGGGATAGAGGACTGTTGTTGTTGTTTTGTTGTTTTTTTTTTGCATAATGTGAGAAGAAAGGTTTGATTAGAGAGAGAGGGAGGAGGGAGGGAGGGAGAGAGAGAGAAGAGAGAGAAGAGAGAGAGAGAGAGAGAGAGGGAGGGAGGGAGGGAGGGAGGAGGGAGAGAGAGAGAGAGAGAGAGAGAGAGAGAGAGAGAGAGAGAGAAGAGAGAGAGAGAGAGAGAGAGGGAGGAGGAGAGAGAGAGAGAGAGAGAGAGAGAGAGAGAGAGAGAGAGAGAGAGAGAGAGAGAGAGAGAGAGAGAGAGAGAGAGAGAGAGAGAGAGAGAGAGAGAGAGAGAGAGAGAGAGAGAGAGAGGAGAGGGAGGGAGGGAGGGAGGAGAGAGAGAGAGAGAGAGAGAGAGAGAGAGAGAGAGAGAGAGAGAGAGAGAGAGAGAGAGAGAGAGAGAGAGAGAGAGAGAGGGGGGGAGGAGGGGGGATTGTGTGGATGGGTGTGCGTGTGCGTGCGTGCATGTGTGTGTGTGTGTGTGTGTGTGTGTGTGTGGTGTGTGTGTGTGTGTGTGTGTGTGTGTGTGTGTGTGTGTGTGTGTGTGTGTGTGTGATAATGTAAATATGATTTTGTGTGTGTTTTACCAGGAGTTTAAATCTTTTCCCAATTTGCCCCTTACAGTGATATGCTGATGGCACAATAAACATTAAAATTTCTCTATCTACAAGTAGTCGATAACGAACACCACAATACAACAATGAGATTTACAAACCACTTAGCGATATAAGATGATAAATGTCTGCAGAAACGCGGCAGACGGATGCGTCAAGCGCCTCCCTCTGGGCGGCCAAAGGTGAAACTTCAAAGTCACCCAAACGTAAACATTCGAAACAAGATGGACTTCACTGAAACTTCCCGTTTCTTTCGCACAACAAAAGAGTCATAAAGATTTCGCAATCCATGCTCGCGGCGTGTCGATCAACCGAGATAGAATATCAGGCCCGCAATTAATCAATGTCTCTTAATTGGCAGAATTAAAACCAACAGTTTCATCCTCCTCGCAGCCAATTGGGTCCGTCGCTGAAAAGGCATTATGCAGCAACTTTCTTGGCTGCCCGTATATATGTATGTATGCGTATGTGTGTGTATATATATCTATATTTATATTTTATATGTATGTATTATATATATGTATGTATATATATATGCATGTATGTACATATAAATATGAATATATAATATATTTATATATATATATATATATTATATATATATATATATATATATATATATATATATATATATATACATATATGCACACACACACACACAACGTTTGTATATGTATATGTGTATATATATATATATATATATATATATATATATATATATATATGAATACACACACATGTATATGTATATGCATATGTATGTGTATGTGTCCGCGCGCCTGTACATGTGTATTTTACAATCCAAGATACAATATACACAACTAAATCCTCGAATCAGCCAAGGCCTCGTCCACTTCGAAATACCCACAGGGGCAAAACGCCCATTTCCCAGCGAATTTAAGAACCACGGACGCGCCCACAGCAGACCCGGGCCAGCAGCTTTCTTATTGGCAAGTCACAGAATAATCTTCGCGCGTCTTTTGCCAGAATCCGGATTAATGTGAAGAAGGTTTTTCTAATGTTCCCAGACTTTTGCAATACAGCGCCGTGACTCAGATCCCTCAACCTATCCCCCTTGAAATATCCCCTACCAACCCCCCCTCCCCTATCCCCTTCCCGGCCCCCCTTCCGGCCTTCCCCCTATCCCCCTTCCTGCAACCCCCCCCCCCCCCTATCCCCCTTCCCTGCAACCCCTCCCCTCCCCCCCCCACCCCCCTCCCCCTTCCCCCAAGCATCAAACTTCTAGCCTTAGCTAATAACTTGGTATTTTTTCGATAAATAAGTGTGGATTTGTTGTTGGTAGCTTGTTTAATCTTTTTTTTTTGGCTAAATAAAGTGTGGATGAGAATAGCAACAATGGTGATGATAATAACAATATTGATAGTAATAAAAATTATGATGATCACATTGATAATAGTAATAACAACAGCAACAACCACGATGATAACAAGGACGATGATAATAATGATAATGATGGTGATGATGTTCTTCTAACTGCTACTAATGATGCTGCTGATGAGAATAATGATAATAATCATGAATATTATTATAACAATCTTTATAATAATGATTATGATAATGTTAATAACAATGATAATGCGATTGCAATTATGCTTAATTCTAATAAGGTTATTGACAATGATATTAATGGCAATAACAGTAATTAAAATAATGATAATAGTGAGTTATAACAATTATAGTAATCAAAACAACAAGAACAACAACACTAAAAGTAATGATATTAGTAATAGTAATCATTATATTAATGATGATGATGGTGGTTATAATAATGATAAGGATAATATAATGATAAAGATGAAAATGATGTGATTGTATTTCTGACGAAGATATAATCGAAACTAATCAAATACATCTTTTCCACTGTGGAGATATTCATACTACTTTTATCACTGCGTCTACTACTGCTACTACGACTACTACTACTACTGCTATTATTCTCATTATCGTCATTATTACCGTTACCAATGGTATTAACCTGGCGTATGCCCTAAATCATAAAAAAAAAAACTAAATCCGGCTCTAAGAGATATACATCAATAATGATAATAATTACAATTATGATAAAAACTCTGAGCTCCCCAATATCAATGTTGCCATAAAAATAGTACTTTAAGTAATTTGATAAAATCATGATACAAGGTAATATCATCGGCAATTCAGTATTATCATTTTTATATTAACAAGATTAATATCATGATCATCATTTATCTTCTTGTTGCTATTTAAGGCAAATTACTGAAGTACGCGCAAAGAGTGATTATCATAAAAGCAACACATGGCATCTCTATTACACTCTCAATTAAAATATGTCAACCGTACTATCTAGATATAACATAATATACTCCCTATATTTTTTTACGGATTGAGAATGCTTTAAAAATGTTAATCATTTTTTATGTCACATAACAGCAAGAACATCAGAAAGAATTAATGTTTGTTATTCCCTTTTTTTTACCATGTTAATTTTCCCGCCAAATTCCTATTTGGGTCATGTTATTAAAAATATATGAAGTCTTATGCTGTTAACATCCTCAAAAAAGAGTGATGAGATAGAATAATAAATCGTAAATGAAGGAGAGGTGATTAGATAAGAAAAAGTAAACAAAAGAGAAAGAAAATGTTTTAGACAGAAAAGGAGATCGTCTGCGCTTCACAAGTGTTGTAGAAGTCTTCTAAAAAACCTCTATTGCTCCTGTTCATGTCGGCTTTTATTCTTTTTTGTTTTTACCCTAATCCACTTAATGTTTGTTGTAATAACGAAAGAGAGAGGGAATTAATTTCGAAAGAATTAAACAATAGTTTAATGTAAGGTAAAGTACTTGTCTTTACTGAATAACAAATATTTTGAAGTACAACAGTACATGTGTGATGAAGAACTGTATCTTTTCTTTTACTTTTTTCTCTTTTTACTTCAATTTTGATATGGCTATGATAAATGACAGAATAGAGAACATAAGCTGATAATCGTGATTTATAAGAAATCTGAGAATAATGAATGAATAACGTCAAATAAATTATATACATAAACCACATGAAAGTACTCATCAGAGTCGAAAAAAGACAGGAAAATAAATAAAAACAAACAGTAATAAAATGCAATAGAAAGAAAAGAAGAAACAAATCTCACAATCAAAGGAAAATATAAAAAAAAAAACATAAAAAACAAGAAAATTGAAAATAATGTTATCTACTCTGAAAAGTTAATGAAACTTCTCCCAAGATATGAAGTAAACATAAAGAACACAAAATAATAATGCAAAGCCCAAACTGTTCTTCAGACTGCTTTTAAAAATTCTCTCGTAAGAGCAAAAACCTCGGGCTTCCAAACAAAACCCATCAAAATATAACAACAGAAACAGCAACAAAAACAATCAAAGATACAAAACAACCTCCGCATGGAAGAAAGGAATTTAAAAGACATCTGAAAGGCTATCAAAACATTTGCAAAATACCCAAAACCAGCCCAAAAACCTCACCCCCACACGTACATCAAGAAACAAAAATCCCAACTCTTCCAGCTCCCTCAGAAAACCATTCCCAACAACCACAGAAATAAAAAGAACATCAAATCCCTCAAAACTACCCATAAGATACCACCTCCGAACCCTCCCCCTGAAAAAAACACATTAAAACCCTCTTTAAACCTCCCCCCCTAAAATAAACCCCGCGTTCGGGCTCCCTCAGCAGGACGGTTCCAACAACGCGGGGCTGACAGGCACACAGGCAGGCAACACGGAGCGGCGCCATCGGGGGGAATCACGTGGAGGCCCCGATTTCTTCGCTTTTTCCGCCCTGACGCTGGATAACACGTAGGAAATGGACTCGAGGAAGATAATAGAGATACTGAGGGGCACTATAGACCCGAATTTACGCCAGCAGGCCGAGGATGAGCTGACGCAGGTGAGGAAATGTGGCTGGTGACGGTTTTGTTGGGGGTTCACGTTTCTCGGTCTAGGCCTATTTTGGGGCCTCCTTTTCTCGCGCTTTTCGGTCCTTATTCTAGGGGCGGTCGGTCTCTACGACCCTGGCTCGGAAAATGTGTTATTTTGGCCGTGTGTTTGTCTCGTTTCTTGTTCGTTACCGCCTCTCGATCTTTCTTCATCCTTTCCTCGTCGCCTTCTCTCTCTCTCTTTCGTCGCCGCTGTATTTTTCGCCTTTTTCTCTCGCGATTTGTCACTCCCACTTGTATGCACTCGCCAGTGGTCTCTCTCGTCGCTATCTTTCCCCCCTTCTTTTCGTCGTCTTTTCTCGTGTGTTCGTCATCGCATTTTCTCTCTATATCTGCTTTCCCGTCCTTTATCACCGTTTGCTCTAGCTCCTCTCTTCGTAGGACACGTGGTTTTCGCCTCTCTTATGTCGATAAATTTGATAACGGTGAAGAAAGGTAGAGGAGAGTGGGAAATAGTCAGGCAAGAATATAGGTGTGAAAAAATACAAATAAACAAAGGATTTAAGAAAGAAAGAAAAAAAAACAGCCCTCATGAAATCTAGATCATTTGACACCTGTGATACAATGAATTATATGTCAGAATGCAGTCCAGGTGACATTACATGTGATTCCAAAAAGTAACAATTGTGAAATATCCGTGTAATTTGGCGTAGGCTTTAAAGTTCCGTGTCGAAGGACCAAGGAATTGCATTTATTGAACCCAGACATTTGAGCTTAAGTTGTGTCTGTGTTAGGGCTGATGGCAATGGTCTTGGCTCGTTAGCTTTTACCAATGTACGTTCCTACTAATGCCAACATATGAGGATTTAGAGAATCATGACCTAATGAATTTTGTGTTTTGGTAAGGGGCCTTTTATTTATTATTATTATTATTTTATTATTATTATTATTATTATTATTTAGTATGTAGAAATACAATGAAGATGGCCCCTTGTACTTCTGTGTTTGTAGATGTTGAAGTTGAGATATATTGGTATACCTTCTGTTTTATGTCGCTGCACCTAGATCAAAATGCCTCGGAGCCTGTAGTGGAGTGTCAAAAAGACAAGTAGAAATACACTGCTTCTAATTTCATTTGCTGGCTATCAAACCAAGGATCTTGGAATCCCAGCTGACCTCTCTTCTTCTGGGTATCATGCTAGACCATTTGGGGGGTGGGGGTAAAAATGGGAGATCCAGGATTGTGTTTGTATGCTGTGTCAATTAGGGATACATTTGACTTTTCAAATAACAGAAGCATGACTACAGATTGAAAAATTAAAGTTTGAGAAGTACTTTGTAGACACCTGCAGTGGCTTTGTTTCATATTTTTGTAACTGTATTGGCTGTGTCCTTTCCAAAGTCTCTTGTATCTTCCTTTATTCTTTGGTAGAAGGCCTCTATGTCCAGCCTGGGGTTGGTATTATGGGTAGCAGTCACCATGACCTCAGTGCTGCTGCAAGGGTCAACAAACATCTGTATATTCTGGGAAGATGAAGTTAGACTGCTTCTTTATGTAATCAATAGTGATGTTTACAAGTTCTGTTTTATTGAAATGGATGAGATAGAGGTTTGTTGGTTATTGCGGAATTGTGACAGTGTGGTGATGCAAGGCCAATGCTGAGCTTCGGTGGGCATGACACCTATATTTTACTCATTTTGATTTGTGTATAAAAGCTATGTCGTTGAAAAATTGTGTTTGGGTTGAAAAGGGAAGCCATGACTTCATTGCTTGGAGAATTTGGCATAGAGAAAAGGAAATGATTGGTATCTAAATTTCCTGCTTGAGTTAATATAGTATGTAGTGCAAGACACCATGAACCCCTTACTGACAGGAATAGTTATAACTGTCGTATGATATTTAGTTGTATGCTGGCTACCGTCTTAGCTATTATGACTTTCTTGCACTGGTGCATTAGAGCTCCCTGTGGTGGGTTAGCTGGATTGGCTTTGTGCAATAAAGACAAAGCAGATTGATTTTACAGTTCCTGATGAAAGTGCTGGATAGCGAGGTTTTGCCCTTGTCATTTGTTTCAAGGAAGATGAGCAGAATGTAAATTCTGAAATCTTACAATGTGAACTTCACACCTGTTGGTCCTCTGATAAAGGCCAATAAACTTTTATTGGAAAGATGGTTTGTACACCCCCCAAGGAATTTATCATCGGTTAAGAAAAAAGTCCAAACTGCCTTGGCCAAATGTAATGTGGAGTTTTGTTGACCTTTGCAGATGCATGTTTACTAAAGCTGCTTGGCTTTTTGTCATTATTGAGTTGACGATTGTAGGCCTTCCATCACAGACTGTAGCTAGTTCATGTTTGTAAGCTTTCTGGCAATATGTAAAAGTACATAATGTAATCTGTCATGGCATTCATAGATTTTAGAATTGAGATTTTTGTTTTGTTTTTAACATTGATGTCACAAATTAAGCTAGCTAGTTATTTTACAAAACAAAGTTAGCGATGTAAATGGGTCTACCTTTCAATATGAGCCTAAGCATTTTGTATTGTGATTTTTTTACTAAGATTTATCCAGCCAAACCTATATCTAGCCATAATACAACTTAATGATTAATAAACAGTTTTCACCATATCCATACCCTCTTGTCTCCCCTAAATTACAAATTACAAATATTCCTTCAATGTCTGAGACAGGTGTATGGGTAGGGAGCTGTATTTAAATAAATCCTCTGCTTTTAAAGCCCTTTTCTGGAAGCAGGAACTAAAATAAAAAGGATATTCATGACCCAAAGACTCTTATTCCTGAGCCACTAACCATTATAGTGAAATTCGGGAAATGATTCTACCCATTATCAAATCATTTTTTATTTGTTTGAGAATAAGCCACCCTTGTTGCTAGGTAACTGGCCTCTTCCAATATGGCCAGTCAGAAGCACAAAGAAAAATTTAACCACCAAGACTTCGTAACTGCTGCCCTTTTCCCATCACTGACTTGCAAGATTTAATTGTTTGGGAAATTCCATGGACATTGAGTAGTTCCAAACCTTAATAGCTTTATTTGATAAGACTCCAGTTTATATGGAGAACATTGACAAGAAGTTGATTGGTAACTTCAATCCCTAAAACATCCCTATTTTATGAACTCGCTTAGTTTTAGTGTAAAGAAGATTAGAAACTTGTTTGAAAATATCATGATACATCAATTTACTTGGAGTACTTGTGGGTCATTCTGCTGAAAGAGGAGATACTAAAATTATTGTGATGAAGGCTTTTGTTGTTAATGATATTTCCCCTGTTATGGAGCTATGAATGGTTGGGTATTGTAGTCTTTGGGTAGATAAAATTTATTGATACAGTAATAGGACTTAAATGAGAGGTTGGGTGATCCTTTGTTGGAATTTTGAGTGGTTGAGTGAGTGTGTATGTGTGGTTGAGTGCGTATGTGAGTGGGGTTGAGTGAGTATGTGTGTGGTTGAGGGAGTGTGTGTGTGGTCGAGTGAGTGAGTGTGTGTGTGTGTGTGTGTGTGTGGTTGAGTGAGTGTGTGTGTGTGTGTGTGGTTTGAGTGAGTGTGTGTGTGTGTGTGTGTGGTTGAGTGAGTGTGTGTGTGTGTGTGTGGTTGAGTGAGTGTGTCTGTGGTTGAGTGAGTTTGCGTGTGTGTCTGTGGTTGAGTGAGTGTGCGTGTGTGTCTGTGGTTGAGTGAGTGTGCGTGTGTGTCTATGGTTGAGTGAGTGTGTGTGTGTGTGTGTGGTTGAGTGAGTGTGCGTGTGTGTCTGTGGTTGAGTGAGTGTGAGTGTGTGTCTGTGGTTGAGTGAGTGTGCGTGTGTGTCTGTGGTTGAGTGAGTGTGCGTGTGTGTCTGTGGTTGAGTGAGTGTGCGTGGTGTGTCTGTGGTTGAGTGAGTGTGCGTGTGTGTCTGTGGTTGAGTGAGTGTGCGTGTGTGTCTGTGGTTGAGTGAGTGTGCGTGTGTGTCTGTGGTTGAGTGAGTGGCGTGTGTGTCTGTGGTTGAGTGAGTGTGCGTGTGTGTCTGTGGTTGAGTGAGTGTGCGTGTGTGTCTGTGGTTGAGTGAGTGTGCGTGTGTGTCTGTGGTTGAGTGATGTCTGTGGTGAGTGAGTGTGCGTGTGTGTCTGTGATTGAGTGTGTGTGTGTGTGTGTATATGAGTGAGTGAGTGCATGCATGCATGCATGTATGTATTTGTGTATCTGTCTGTCTGGTTGTCTCTACATTTTTTTTTTTTTTGTGTGTGTGTGTGTGTATGGGAAAAAAAGTATTGAAAGTGAAAAGTGAATTTGTAGGATATTCTGTCTGTGGCAACAACATTGTCAAACTCTTCAAATCATCAGCATATTTATGTGGTGCATTACTATTGAAAGTTTAAAATACTAGAAACTATGATAGGACAGTACATCAAAATATACAAGGTCCTAGATCACATTTGAGTCACTTGCTCAGCTTGTGCTATATTCTGGAAAGAGATGGTCATTATTGTGGTATCAGATTTCCTTTGCCCTTTGAGGTCAAGAAGCAGATGCTGTGACCTGGTTGCTGCTGAGGTGGTTGTACTCCTCTCTTTGTCACAGAGCCACCTTTGTTAAGAATCTTTTTTATATTGGCCACGGCTGTGCCTTCCATTATTTAGACATTTATGATGGTGACAGGTCTAAAGAAAAGGTGATTTAGCACTTTCTTGTCTCCCTTGTTACTCCCCTAAGTGTAGGGTTGTAGGGCTGAGTAATCAGGATATGTACATGTAACTTTTTCAGTTTGTCTTTTTATTATGATGGTGAGTGATTCCTAGCATTGCAGATGTAATTTATAAGATTGCTGTTGATGTTATTTATTAAATTGCAGTTGATGTTATTTAAAACTTTAATAGTGCTGTTGTAGTTTTATCATTTTAATGATACTAGATGTATACAAATACTATAGTACTTTCAATAACCATTTTTACTATTTTTACAAGAAAGTGAGTAGATTACTTTAAAAGGGTGTTATTATTTAACCCTTTTGTCCCCTCTGATGCAGTGGCATCTTCGTGGTGTCATTAGTCTCCTTATTTTACTGAATCATTGTGTATACAAGACTTGGCAGGCAAAGCAGCGTATGGCATGGGTTGGGGGTGGCATTATACTGTGTTTGTATTCAGGGGTGACATTCTGGCCCAAAGGCTGACGTTGCTGTTTACTTTTTGCATGTCAGGCAAGAGGATTTTCTCTTAATCTGTTCATCTTTCTTTTCTCTTTGCTCTCCCTGCTCTCCCTCCTTTCCTCCCTTCTTCCCTTCCTCCCTTCCTTTCCCTTTTTTTTCCTCCCTCTCCTCTCTCCTCTCCCTCCCTCCTCCCTCCCTCCCTCCCTCCCTCCCTCCCTCCCTCCTCCATCCCTTGCTCTCTCCTCCTCTCCTTCCCTCCCCACTCTCCTCCTCCTCCCTCTCTCCCTCTCCTCCTCTCCCCCTTCCCTCTCTCCCTCCTCTTCCTCCCTCCCCTCTCCTCCTCCTCCCCCTCCTCCCTCCTCCTCTCCTCCTCCTCCTCCTCCCTCTCTCTCCCTCCCTCCCCTCTCTCCTCCTCCTCCCTCCTCCCTCTCTCCTCCTCCTCCCTCCCTCCTCTCCTCCTCCTCCTCCTCCCTCCCTCTTCTCCTCCTCCTCCTCCCTCCTCCTCCTCCTCCTCCTCCTCTCTCCTCCTCCTCCTCCCCCTCTCTCCTCTCTCCCTCCCTCCCCTCTCTCCTCCTCCTCCCTCCCTCCCCTCTCTCCTCCTCCTCCCTCCTCTCTCCTCCTCCCCTCCCTCTCTCTCTCCTCCCTCCTCCCTCCTCCCCTCTCTTCCTCCTCCCTCCCTCCCTCCCCTCTCTCCTCCTCCTCCCTCCCTCTCTCTCCTCCTCCTCTCTCCCACCTCCCTCCTCCCTCTCTCCTCCTCCCTCTTCCCTCTCTTCTCCTTTCCTCCCTCCCCTCTCCTCCCTCTCTCTTCCTCTCCCTCCTCCCCTCCTCTCTCTCCCTCCCCTCCCTCCCCTCCCTCCCTCCCCTCCCTCTCCTCTCTCTTTTTCCCTCCCTGCTCTCCCTCCCCTCCCTCTCCTCTCTCTCCCTCCTCTCTTCTCCCCTCTCTCTCCCTCCCTGCTCTCCCTCCCCTCCCTGCTCTCTCTCTCCTCTCCTCTCCTCTCCCTCTCCCTCCTCTCCTCTCCTCTCCTCTCCTCTCCTCTCCTCTCCTCTCCTCTCCTCTCCTCTCCTCTCCTCTCCTCTCCTCTCCTCTCCTCTCCTCCTCTCCTCTCCTCTCCTCTCCTCTCCTCTCCTCTCCTCTCCTCTCCTCTCTCTCTCCTCTCCTCTCCTCTCCTTTCCCTCTCCTTTCCTTTCCCTCTCCTCCTTTCCCTCTCTGCTCTCCCCCCCCTCTCTCCTCCTTTCCCTCTATGCTCTCCCCTCCCTCTCTCCTCCTTTCCCCCCCCTCTCTCCCTCCCCTTTCTCCTCCTATCCTCCCTCCCCTCTCTCCTTTCTCCTCCTATCTCCCTCCCCTCTCTCCTTTCCTCCTATCCTCCTCCTCTCCCTTTCTCCTCCTCTCTCTCCCTTTCTCCTCCTATCCCTCCCCTCCCCTCTCTCCTTTCTCCTCCTATCCCTCCTCCCCTCCCTCTCCCTTTCTCCTCCTATCCTCCCTCCCCTCTCTCCTTTCTCCTCCTATCCCTCCATCCCTCTCTCCTTCTCCTCCTATCCCTCCTCCTATCCCTCCCTCCCCTCTCTCCTTTCTCCTCCTATCCCTCCCTCCCCTCTCTCCTTTCTCCTCCTATTCCCCCTCCCCTCTCTCCTTTCTCCTCCTATCCCTCCTCCCTCTCTCCTTTCTCCTCCTATCCCTCCCTCCCCTCTCTCCTTTTTCCTCCTATCCTCCATCTCCTCTCTCCTTTCTCCTCCTTCCTCCTCCCTCTCTATCCTCCCTACCCTCCCTCCCCTCTCTCCTTTCTCCTCCTATCCTCCCTCTCTCTCCTTTCTTCTCCTCCTATCCCTCCCTCCCCTCTCTCCTTTCTCCTCCTATCCCCCCTCCCCTCTCTCCTTTTCTCCTCCTATCCCTCCTCCCCTCTCTCCTTTCTCCTCCTCCCCCTCCCTCTCTCCTTCTCCTCCTATCCCTCCCTCTCTCCCTCTTCATCCTTTCTCCTCCTATCCTCCCTCCCCTCTCTCCTTTCTCCTCCTAACTCCCCTCTCTCTCCTTTCTCCTCCAATCCCTCCGTCTCCTCTCTCCTTTCCTCCTTTCCTCCTCTCCTCTCCCTCTCCTCTCCTCTCCTCTCTCCTCTCCCTCTCCTCTCCTCTCCACCCCCACCCCCCTCTCCCCTTTGGCCCTCACCACACCCTCCCTCTCTCCCTCTCCCTGCTTTTTTCATTCTTTTTTTCCCATGCTATTTTTTTTTCTTTTCTTATGCCTACCCTGTACTTCCTCCTTTTACTTGCACACTTATTTAAAATCAATCCCTGTATTTCCATTTTTTTCCAAACTTTTTCTATCTTATCCTTATTTCTTTCATCTCCCCTCTCCCTCTCCCCTCTCCTCTCTTTTCCCACTCCCCTCTCCTCCTCCATCTTTCCCACTCCCCTCTCCCTCTCTTTTCCCACTCCCCTCTCCTCTCTTTTCCCACTCCCCTCTCTCTCTCCCTCTCCTCTCTTTCCCACTCCCCTCTCCCTCTCTTTTCCACTCCCCTCTCCCTCTCTTTTTCCCACTCCCCTCTCCTCTCTTTCCCCACTCCCCTCTCCCTCTCTTTCCCCACTCCCCTCTCCCTCTTTCCACTCCCCCTCTCTCTCTCTTTTCCACTCCCCTCTCCCTCTCTTTTCCCACTCCCCTCTCCCTCTCTTTTCCCACTCCCCCTCTCCCTCTCTTTTCCCACTCCCATCTCCCTCTCTTTCCCACTCTCCTCTCTCCCACAACTCCCTCTCCCTCTCTTTTCCCCACTCCCCCTCTCTCTCTTTTCCCACTCTCTCTCTTTTTCCCATCTCTTTTCCCACTCCCCCTCTCTCTCCTCTCCCACTCTCTCTCTTCTCTCCCCTCTCTCTCTCTCCCATTCCCTTTTCCTTTTTCTCTACCTCTTCCACTTCCCCCTTTCTCTTGTCTATCTCTGCTGTCCTTTTCTATTCCATCTTGTCTCCCTTTTTTCTCCCTCCCATCAGCATCACTCCTCCTTTATATTCCAAGCCTTTCCATGTCCCCCCCCCCACCCCATGCCCTCTCCCCTCCTTTTCCCCATCTGTGAATGTGATCTTGAATTATTTGAAGTGATTTGCATAATTTAGGTGATTCTTTGTTAAGTATATCAGAAAAAGTTTGCTTTCACATTGCTCATAAACATTACGAGTTGTATATGTTTTGGAATACGTTTTTTTATAGATTTTTCTTTTGTCTTTGTTCATTTTCTCTTGCAATTTTCTTATTTTTCTTTCCTGACTTCTTATTAGTATTCTTTTCTTCCCATCCTCCCTCTCCTCCTCCTCCACCTCTCCTCCTCCTCCTCCTCCACCTCCCTCTCCTCCTCCTCCTCCACCACCTCCCTCTCCTCCTCCTCCTCCTCTCCTCCTCCTCCTCCACCCTCCCTCCTCCTCTCCTCCTCCACCACCTCCCTCTCCTCCTCCTCCTCCCTCCCTCCACCTCCCTCTCCTCCTCCTCCTCCTCCACCTCCCTCTCCTCCTCCTCCTCCTCCACCTCCCTCTCCTCTCTCTCTCCTCCCTCCTCTCTCTCCTCCCTCCTCGCCCCTCTTCTCTAACCCCCTCCACATGTCATTCTCACTCTGCTTCATGCATATCTTATTTTCGTCTCCATCTTCCAAGTTTTAACTTATTTTCTCATTTTCTGTAGGACTCCTTTATTTTTTACCCCCCCCCCCCCTCGCACACACACACACATACACATACATACACACACATACACACGCTATCTTGCCCTTTCCATGCTGTTATTTGACGTGGTGAATACCGAAGCAGTTATAGGTTTTGGAATGTTACAAGCCTTGGGTCACATTTGTGAGTGACTGGATCAGCTCTAGCTCTTTTATATTCTGCAGTGTAATGTTACTATCAGGCCACATGTAGATCATATCAGTATACATTAAAAGTAGTCAGAGGTATTCCTGTGAAATGGTGATGCTCCGAATAGTTGTATTGATGATATAAACAAACATTAGTTTGGAGATGCGTTCTATGTTCTCAGCATGGAATGTATAACAATTGTCTTTTCTATTCTTCTCCTCTCAGATGATTGAGTAGGAAATGCTTGTTCATTATATCAGGTGAATTTCACGTTGTTATTGTAATTAATTCAGCACCATATCATTTTTATTTTTTATTTATTTTTTCATGACTTGATAAATCAGTTTTTATGCCCATTTATTTTCATCTATCTGATGTCATCCCGGGTTATACTTGTTTAGCATTACATTTCAGTAGATTTGAATTTTGTAATTGTTATATTTTCAGATGAAAAAAATAATTGGGTTTACCCCAGCACTCCTTCAAGTTGTCATGATGGGGGAACTTGACATGCCAGTAAGACAGGCAGGCGTTATATACCTAAAGAACATGGTAGCACAGTACTGGAAAGATGCAGAGTATGAGGCTGGTGAGCCTATTCCATTCCACATTCACGAGCAGGATCGGGCCATGATCCGCGATGCCATTGTCGATGCAGTTGTTCATGCACCAGATCTTGTAAGGTAAGAATCATAAATCTGAACATTTCCCTCTCATGTCAGATTATATCCTGACTTCATCATTATACATAAATATTGCATTCTTTCCAACAAATAATTCTTGCTTTTTAGATTTTCATAATTTCTGTTTCCATTTCTCTCTACAGAGTACAGCTTGCTGTCTGCACATATCAGATGGTCAAACATGACTTCCCAGGTCGCTGGACGACCATTGTCGACAAGATTAGTATTTATCTTCAAAATCCCGACACAAATCTCTGGAATGGCAGTCTCCTCTGCTTATATCAGCTCGTCAAGAATTTTGAGTGAGTTGCAAAATATTAATTTTTGAGTCAATATATTTACCAAAGATGGATTTAAGTTCAAGTGTGTGTTACATATAAGATCAAGAACAGGGAATTGCTGTGCTTCAGAGTTCTAGGCCACATCTATTTTTACAAAGGAGACCTCATGAGTTCATGCTACAATTTCTACATAATACAATGGAAGCAAAAATCCCTGTATACTTTGTCTGTTATCCAACTATACAGTTGTTTTCCTTCCCCTGGAAAGAGAGAGTTGTCTTTTTATATTCTGAAACTCATTAGACTCATTAAGCTCATTAGACTTTAAAAAATAAAGAAAAATTTGTGCAACATGTATTACTAGAATGAAGCAGAAACTGCAATTATGACATGGCCACAATGTAAGGACTTTTGTTTTGAAGCAACTAATATCAGTATCTTAAGAAGTTTAAAATTAGTATGGTAATTTTAGTTAATGTTTAAGGTTAGATATTTATAGAAGATAGATAATTTAATGTCAGAAATGAGATTTGGATTGAGATTAAAAAAAAAGATAATGCAGAAACATCACAGCTGAATAAAAGTGCTGAGAATAATCACATGTGGAGAACCTCAGATATTTGGACAGGTGTGAATTGAACACCTGTGATGAAGCTTTAACACTTGTGTTTACTGTACAGTTATTTGAGAAACTCCATATTAGTTAGATTGTAGCTAATGGCAACTTTGATATTAGCTGTGCTGTGCACTTCATTTCCTACTTAGATAATTACAATTGCTTTCATTACTGCTAGTTTTCTTGTGAAATAATGGCTTCCAGATCTCCTTTTACAGGAGAAAGTGACTAATACCACCAAAGGTACTATTAGTATGACTACCACTAATGTCACTACTGCAGTAAATTATAACTTTCATCGTTTGTATTTAGACTGCTACCACTACTTCTATCCTATTACAACCATTAAGTTTACTATTGTTTCTACCACACTAGTTCTTTTACTATTATCACAAGTATTTCTTTACTGCAGCAAAAGTATACATTTTTTTGTAGTTTGTATTCAGGTACAGATCATAAAAATTTGTGATTGGGCAAACAGAAACATAGACTTGTATTAAAGGACTTACTAGAAAAATAGTGGAAGAGGAATAAGGACAGAGAAAGGAGGAAACACTAGAGTGGCAACTAAGATTGGCATTTGGTACAACATTGCCATGACCCTCAACTGAATAAATTACATTATCTTTGATTTCCTTCTTTGTGATATTGTTTTGTGGGTGAACATTTTCTTTCTGCATGTTGATGTGGGAATTGTACTATTTTCTTTGTATACTCCATTAGCATCAAGGAGTTAACTGAATTCAGTTATATTAGCAGTTCGATTAGCTTTTCATTTCCTGCAATTGCTTATAGTGAAAGTAATAGTTACTAAAGGAAGGAAAGTTTCTTTAGTATGTTGCATTCTTTTATGCTGAGTTACAGTGGAAGAAAAATAATTTCCTGTTTTCTTTTTCCAGATATAAAAAGAAGGAAGAACGGGGTCCACTTCATGAGGCAATGAGAATGCTGTTGCCAATGTGTTATGAGCGTATAGTTCACCTTCTGCCAGATCCCTCTGAACATTCAACGTTACTACAAAAACTGATTCTTAAGATCTTCTATGCTCTTACACAGGTAACTTAAGCTAGCTTGTGCATCTTTTTTGGTTTAATAGTCAAGCTAGCTTGTGCATCTTTTTTGGTTTAAATAGTCATTGGCTTTTTATGTTTTACCTCTGCTAATACTCCTAATCAGGAACCTCGGACCTACTTAAGTATTGGCTCCTTTATTGAACTTTTATATTATATTGGTATTAATTGAAAATACAGATCAGTTTAGGATTACATTCCTAAATAGGATTTTTGTATATAGATTTAATAAGAAGTATCATTTAATTATCATTTACAAAGTTGGAAACCATTTGTTTCATTTAGATTTAATCATATTAACTGATGAAATCCCTGTGTAGACTTCATAAAATGAAAATAATGCAGTAAATGTTTAAAAAATGGCCTTGTGGCTGATTGCAATTTGAGGGTAAGTAAGGTGGAAAACCTTTTACCGAATACAAAGCAGGATTTATTAACATGGTCATATGTCTTAAAACAAAATTAAATTAAATTATTTCCAAAAATCTTTTTATTGAGCCTGGTTAACTTGTTCTCTCTTACTTTACAGTACCACTTACCTTTAGAGCTGTTGAGTCGAGACACCTTTACACAGTGGATGGAGGTCACACGACAGGTAGCCGACAGACCTGTGCCAGACCAGACGTTACAGGTGGATGAGGAAGAGAGACCAGACTTGCCATGGTGGAAGATCAAGAAATGGGCATTACACATCTTGGCCAGAATATTTGAAAGGTAAGTTCTTGGAAATGGCTTTCTTTGCATTCTCTTTCTGCCTCTTCCTCCTCCTCCTTCCTCCTCCTCCTCCTCCTCCTCCTCCTCCTCCCTCCTCCTCCTCCCTCCTCCTCCTCCCTCCTCCTCCTCTCCTCCTCCTCCTCCACTCCTCCTCCTCCTCCTCCTCCATCCTCCTCCTCCTCCTCCTCCTCTCCTCCATCTCCTCCTCCTCCTCCTCCTCCTCCTCCATCTCCTCCCTCCTCCTCCCTCCTCCTCCTCCTCCTCCTCACTCCTCCTCCTCCTCTCCTCCTCCTCTCTCCTCCTCCTCTCCCTCCATCTCCTCCTCCTCCTCCTCTCCATCTCCTCCTCCTCCTCCTCATCCATCTCCTTCTCTCCTCTTCCATGTAATGTATGTAGTGGGAGGAAGGTGGTGTCCCACCCCCCACTATTATTACATGTTGTTTGGTAGGTCATGGCTGAGCGGTAAGGCAGTTGTAAGTAAGTAAGATGTTGGTGCAGTTAAACTTGTCGCAGTTTTCTTGTCTTTATTCTGGGTAACTGGTACAGAGGGCAAGGCAGAGGCCCAGGGAAGGGCACGTCCTGCCAAGCCCGTGAGGGCAAGCGGTCTGAGATAGATGGCACAGGAATTGCCATGAACGAAGTATGTTTTGTGACAATATACAATGGAAAAACATGAAAGAATATGGATGAACATAGATTTAGAGATATTAGGCCACATGACCGTTTTGTGGAGAGGAACAAGGGTATGGTTGACATGATATCGGTATATTTTTACAGTCAAAACATTGTGGTTATGGGACAGACTGGCTGACTATACATGAAACATAGAACATTTGAATATCAATGATAAAATGTTACATACATCGTTATTCAGAATAAGCATTTCATAAGAAACATTTTGAGTATAAACATGACATATTTATACTTGAAGACAACAGAATAAATGCATGGAAATGTATGAGAGTAATAAGGGTCAGATTAGCGTGTTCTACGGTCACTTCGTCAATGTCGGGCACAGGGCACTCTGGAATCTCGTAAAATAAACAACACATGGCTTTCGTGGTCTGTGAGGGGGCAGGTCACTAGACTCCATCTCCTCCATCTCCTCTCCTCCTCCTCCTCTACCATCTCCTCCATCTCCTCTACCATCTCCTCCATCTCCTCTACCATCTCCTCCATCTCCTCCATCTCCTCTACCATCTCCTCCATCTCTCATCTCCTCTCCTCTCCTCCCTCTCTCCATCTCCTCCATCCTCCTCCTCTCTCTCCTCCTCCTCTCCATCTCCTCCATCTCCTCCATCTCCTCCTCCTCCTCTCCATCTCCTCCATCTCACTCCTCCTCCTCTACCATCTCCTCCATCTCCTCCTCCTCCTCTCCATCTCCATCTCTCCTCTCTCCTCCTCCTCCTCTACCATCTCCTCCATCTCCTCCATCTCCTCCATCTCCTCTCCTCCTCTACCATCTCCTCCATCTCCTCCATCTCTCCTCCTCCTCTCTACCATCTCCTCCATCTCCTCCATCTCCTCCTCCCTCCTCTACCATCTCCTCCATCTCCTCCATCTCCTCCTCCTCCTCTACCATCTCCTCCTCCTCCTCCATCTCCTCCATCTCCTCCATCTCCTCCTCCTCCTCTCTCCTCCCTCCTCCTCCTCCTCCTCCTCTACCATCTCCCCATCTCCTTCTCCTCCTCTCCTCTACATCTCCTCCATCTCCTCCCTCCTCTCCTCTCTCCATCTCCTCCTCCTCCTCCTCCTCTACCATCCCTCCTTCCTCCTCCTCCTCTACCATCTCCTCCATCTCCTTCTCCTCCTTCTCCTCTACCATCTCCTCCATCTCCTCCTCCTCCTCCTCTACCATCTCTCCTCCATCTCCTCCTCTCTCTACCCTCCTCCATCTCCTCCTCCTCCTCCTCCTCCATCTCCTCCTCCTCCTCTACCATCTCCTCCATCTCCTCCTCTCCTCTACATCTCCTCCATCTCCTCCTCCTCCTCTACCATCTCCTCCATCTCCTCCTCCTCCTCTACCATCTCCTCCTCTCCTCCTCCTCTCCTCTCTCCATCCTCCTCCCTCCTCTACCATCTCTCCATCTCTCCTCCTCCTCCTCTCTCTCCATCTCTCATCTCCTCCATCTCTCCTCCTCCACCATCTCCTCTCATCTCCTCCTCTCCTCCTCTCCTACCATCTCCTCCATCTCCTCTCTCTCCATCTCCTCCTCCTCCTCCTCCTCTCCATCTCTCCATCTCCTCCTCCTCCCTCTACCATCCATCTCCTCCTCCTCCTCTACCATCTCCTCTACCATCTCCTCCATCTCTCCTTCCTCTCTACCATCTCTCCATCCTCTACCATCTCCTCCATCTCCTCCTCCTCCTCTCCATCTCCATCTCCTCTCCTCCTCTACCATCTCTCTCCATCCTCTCTCCTCCATCTCCTCCTCCTCTACATCTCCTCCTCTCTACCATCTCCTCCATCTCCTCCTCCTCCTCTCCATCTCCTGCCTCCTCTACCATCTACCATCTCCTCCATCTCCTCATCCTCCTCTACCATCTCCTCCATCTCCTCATCCTCCTCTACCATCTCCTCCATCTCCTCCTCCTCTACCATCTCCTCCATCTCCCATCTCCTCTCCATCTACCATCTCCTCCATCCCTCATCCCTCTCCATCTCCTCCATCTCCCTCTCCTCTACCATCTCTCCTCCCTCCTCCTCCTCTACCATCTCCTCTCCTCCTCTACATCTTCTCTCCTCCTCCTCTCCATCTCTCTCTCCTCATCTCTCCATCCTCCTCTACCATCTCCTCCATTCTCCTCATCTCCTCTACCATCTCCTCCATCTCCTCATCCTCCTCTACATCTCCTCCATCTCCTCTCCTCCTACCATCTCCTCCATCTCCTCTCCTCCTCTACCATCTTCTGCTCCATCTCCTCTCCTCTCCATCTCTCTCCTCCTCCTCCTCATCTCCTCCATCTCTCTCCCTCCTCCTCTCTCCTCCTCCATCTCCTCCTCCTCTCCTCCTCATCTCCTCTCCTCTCATCTCATCTCTCATCTCCTCTCTCCTCCTCATCTCCACTCCTCCTCATCTCCTCCTCCTACCTCCTCCTCATCTCCTCCTCCTCCTCTTCTCTCCTCCTCCTCTACTCCTCCTCCTCCTCTCCTCCTCCTCCTCCCTACCATCTCCTCCATCTCCTCCTCTCCTCCATCTCCTCTCCTCCTCCTCCTCCTCTACCATTCCTCCATCTCTCTCTCGTCCTCATCCTCTTCCTCCTCCTCCTCTCCTCCATCTCCTCCTTTCCTCCTCCATCTCTTCTTCTCCTCTCCTCTCCTCCTCCTCTCTCCTCCTCCTCCTCCTCCTCTCCTCCCTCTCCTCCTCCTCCTCCATCCTCCTCTCCTCCTCCTCCTCTCTCTCCTCCTCCTCTCCTCCTCCTCACCTCATCCTCCCTCTCCTCCTCCTCATCCTCCTCTCCTCCTTGTCCTCCTTCTCCTCCTTGTCCTCCTACCTCTCCTCCTCCTTGTCCTCCTACCTCTCCTCCTCCTCTCCTCTCTCCTCCTACCCCTCCCCCCTTACGAGATAGCTTTCCTCTTCCGTCTTCCCTCTTCCTCCTCTTCCATCTTCCCTCTTCCTCCTCTCCCTCTTTCCTCTTCCTCCTCTTCCTTTTTCTCTTCCTTTTCCTCCTCTTCCCTCTACCCTCATCCTCCTCTTCCCTCTACCCCTCCCCCACCTCCTCCCTCCTCCTAGACCTCCTCTATGTTTCACTCCTCTTCCCTTCTCCTCCTCCCTCTTCCCTCTTCCCTCTTCCCTCTTCCTCTTCCTCTTCCCTCTTCCCTCTTCCCATCAATCTCTCCTCTTCCCTCTTCCCACTTCATCCTCCTCTTCCCTCTTCATCCTCCCTCTTCCTCTTCCTCATCATCTCCCTCTTCATCTCCTCTTCTCACCATCCTTCCTCTTTCCCTCTTCCCTCATCATCCTCTTCCCTCCCTCTTCATCCTCCATCTTCCTCTTCATCTCCACCTCTTCCTCTTCCCTCTTCATCCTCCCTCCTCTTCCCTCATCCTCCCTCTTCCCTCTTCCCTCATCATCTCCCTCCCTCTTCCTCATCACCATCCTTTCCTCTTCATCACCCTCCTCTTCCCCTCTTCCTCATCACCCTCTCTTCCCTCTCCTTCACTCACCTCTCTTCCTCTTCTCTCATCACCTCCCTCTTCTCTCATCACCCTCCTCTTCTCTTTCTCTCATCACCCTCCCTCTTCCCTCTTCTCTCATCACCCTCCCTCTTCCCTCTTCTCTCATCACCCTCCCTCTTCCCTCTTCTCTCATCACCCTCCCTCTTCTCTCATCACCTCCTCTCCCTCTTTCTCATCATCCTCTTCCCTCTCTCTCCCTCTCATCACCTCCTCCCTCTTCCCTCATCATCCTCCCTCTTCTCTCATCACCTCCCTCTTCTCTCTGCCTCTTCTCTCATCATCATCACCCTCCTCCCTCTTCCTCATCACCCTCCTCTTCTCTCATCACCCTCCTCCCTCTTCCTCTCCTCCTCTTCCTCATCACCCTCCCTCTTCTCTCATTCCTCCCTCTTCCTCATCACCCTCCTCTTCCCTCTTCTCTCATCTCATCCCTCCCTCTTCCTCATCACCCTCCTCTTCCTCCCTCCCTTCCCTCTTCCTCATCACCTCCCTCTTCTCTCATCACCTGCATCACCCTCCCTCTTCCCTCTCTCTCATCACCCTCCCTCCTCCTCTCATCACCTCCCTCTTCCTCTCATCATCATCACCCTCCCTCTTCCCTCATCACCTCCCTCTTCCCTCATCACCCTCCTCTTCCCTCATCACCCTCCCTCTTCCCTCATCACCCTCCCTCTTCCCTCATCATCCTCCCTCTTCCCTCATCATCCTCCCTCTTCCCTCTCACCCTCATCTTCCTCCCTCCCTCCCATCATCACCCTCCCTCTTCCTCATCCTCATCACCCTCCCTCTTCCCATCATCTCTCCCTCTTCCTCTCTCCTCTTCCCTCTCACCTCATCACCTCCTCTTCCTCATCACCTCTTCCTCCCCTCCTCTTCCCTCATCCTCCTCTCCCTCATCACTCCTCTTCCTCATCATCACTCACCTCATCATCCTCCTCTTCCCATCATCCCTCATCACTCATCCCTCCTCATCATCACCTCATCTCTCTCTCCCTCTTCCTTCATCCTCCACACCTCTACCCTCTCCTAGACCACCACCTCTCCTCCTAGACCTCCTCTACCTTTCACTCCTTCTCTTCTTCTCTTCCTTCTTTTCTCTACTTTCACTCTGCTACCTCCTCCTACCTCCTCCTACTGCTACCTCCTCCTCCTTTCCCCTCTGCTGCTACCTCTCCTCCTTTCCCTCCTGCTGCTCTCCTCCTCCTTTCCCCTCCTGCTGCTACCTCCTCCTTTTTTCCTCTGCTTTTTCCTCCTGCTGCTACCTCCTCCTCCTTTCCCCTCCTGCTTCCTTTTCCTCTTGGCTTCTCATATCCATTTTGTTAGCATTTTCCAACATATTCCTAATTGATTCTTAATTTAACAGTTCACATAAATGTGCATATTTTTCTGTCCATACATGTATATCTATGTATTTATAACTTATCAATCTATTTGTTGTATATCTATATATATGCCTTACTTTTTCCACAGATATGGTTGTCCTAGCACAGTTGGAAAGGAATACAAGCAGTTTGCTGAATGGTTCATCAAGACCTTCTCTCAGGGTATCCTTCAGGTACTGCTCAAGATCCTAGATCAGTACCGCAACAAAGTCTACATCTCGCCACGTGTCCTACAGCAGACTCTAAATTATTTGGAGCAGGGGTAAGGTTCTTTTTTGTGTGTCAAGATTTACAAACCTTCAATTTGATGTGAAGTTTGGGATAAAATGAAGAAAGACAATAATACTATGTAATTATAAAATACTACATAATTATAAGGACAAATTCAAAGGTTTTATTTGATACTATTTTTTTTCCAGAGTGGGCCAGTCAGTCGCTTGGAAGCTCCTGAAGCCCCACATGCTCTCGGTGATTCAGCATGTTCTCTTCCCTCTTATGTGTTACTCAGACTCTGACCAGGAATTATGGAATTCCGACCCCTATGAATATGTTCGCGTTAAATTTGGTGAGTTGCCCCCCCCCCCTTAAGGTTATTATACATTTTAAAGATGGTTCTGAGTGCTGGTGAATGTCAAGTAAGAATTATATTAACTACATACCGCCGGGGATGGCATGTGCATACATGCCATGCCCACTGTGTTTAAATTAGTAATTGTTTTACACATAGGTGGCTCCAAAAGTACTAAGTCACCAACTACCAGTCTTTACCCTTTTCCGTGATTTTCAATAATATTTTCTGGTATTTAATACTGCTCTTTGTAATGGCAATAACATTATAGTATTTATGATGTTTATAATAGAAATAACAGTATCAATATTGATAGCATTATTAAAAAAAAAAAAATCTTGGAAATTCAAGGAAAGGTAAAATCAGGGGACTCCTTTATGGCTATACACTGGCAGACCCATCTATGTACAAATACATTTGATAAGACAATACTAAAGTATTAGGACAAGTAACTAAGGTGGGACAGTATTTTCCATAAAGTATTAGTAGTCACAAAAAAACAGAATCATAATACCTCTGTTCTGCTTCATCCAGATATCTATGAGGATCTGGTATCTCCCGTGACTGCTGCTCAGGCACTGCTCCTGTCGACCATCCGCAAGAGGAAGGAAATGTTGGAAAAGACCATGGTGTTCCTCATGCAGGTGCTCACCACACCCAATGTTGACCCAAGGCACAAGGATGGTGTCATGCATATGGTAAGTATCCTCATGTTGATCTAACAGTGGTTTCAGTGTCATGATAATTGCTTACTGGTTATGTAATATTACTCCTAAACAATTATTATCCTTAACCCATTGCTGACGGGTAAAAATGTTTGGCAATTGGACATATGGACGGGCTTGATCAGTAGTTTGCGAGCGACATTTAGCACCTAAAAGCTTTTATTTTGCTATGATATATAAAAATGTTAAAATTTTAAAGGTTTACCTTCATTGTAGGTGCCATTGCCTAAAATTTTTACCATACAAATGAAGCCACTACTATCGGAGAAAAACAAACTCCGTCCGGCGAGCCAGTGGCACAGGAATGGGCATGACACGATGCCACCTGTCTTTCGGTCCACAACCACCATGGCATGTACGTACATGCCACCCGTCGGCTACGGGTTAAGAACTGGTAAAAGGAGTATGTCTTTATATTAATCTTTTTTCTTCTCAACAGATTGGTACTATGGGTGGTGTATTGCTAAAGAAGAGAGTATACAAAGACCAAATGGAAACCATGATTGCGCAGTATGTCTTCCCAGAGTTCCAGAGTCCATTTGGCTTCATGAGAGCACGAGTGAGTGGTCAAGACTATTTCTTATTCTTTTCAGAATTTGAAGTATATATAACCTTGGGTGTATCCAAATACATTGTCATGGCAATTAGTTTATGTAGTGTTCAGTTTACAAACATACATCATTACCAAGAAAATGTGGGAGGTGGGGTGAGAAAAAATATATATATATTTACATGTGACTTCATTTTCTCCACAGGCATGCTGGATCCTTCAGAACTTTGATGAAATTAGGTTCAAGTCGGAACAGAATATTGTAGCAGCCATGAACTGCATCCAGAATGCTCTCTTGAATGATCATGATCTGCCTGTCAAGGTGGAGGCTGCCATGGCACTGTCTGCCTTCCTGGCATCACAGAACAAGGCAGAGAAGATTGTAGAGCCCAATGTAAGTTTATCTGCCTCCATCTTGTTCTTTCCTTCGAAGTATATTGTTCACTGGTCAGTGTATAGTGACAACTTTGGGTACAAATACTCATTGTTTTTGATGAACAGTAAAGTATCAGTAAGTCAAGGAGATGCTGTATTTTTAAAGATATTTATTGTGCTTCATTTATTCCCTCGCCCAGATCCGACCCATTGTACAGGAATTACTCAAGGTCATAAAGGAGACAGAAAACGATGATCTCACAAATGTTATGTGCAAGATTGTGACCACTTACACAGAACAGTTGACTCCCATTGCTGTAGAGATGTGCACACAGCTGGCTGCTACCTTCCAACAGGTGGGAAATTTGTTTTATAGTGATATGTAAGAAGTATGTTGTTTAAAGATTGAAAGAGTGTAAATGCATGATTATTTCTACCTTTATTTTTATATCTATTTTCAAAGGGTAAAGCATTGTGATACTCCCAGGAATGACCCCCAAAACTTAACAAAACTGGTCTATTCAGGTTGATATCTTTACTTTTTCGGTGCACTTATGCCATCAAAGTTACAAGATCAACCCAGAACAAAGCAGGAATAAAGTACCATGTGGATTTGTACCTTGCCTTTGTGGTGTCTGAGTCCTGCTACAAATAAGAGAACTAGGTTAAGAAGACATCAAAGCAATTTATGTAGCCTTGAGAAAGATGAGTTTTTTACAAAGTACTGGATGTTAATTTTTCTCTCTGTATCACTTCTTTATCCTCATTCCTTCCTTTTATGCTTCAGTGGTTGTATTTCCTTTTTTTTATATTTTCTTCATAAATCTGAATACAAGCTTCAACTCCTCTAGCAGGTGGAAATAAATTCATCATGCTGAGTCTGTAGTTCTTATAACTGTAGTTGAAATTTTCAAATGAATCTCAATTATATTCCTTGAATAGGTAAAACTTTAATAATTTTCTCTCTTGAGTTGTATTAGAAGATTGAAAAGGTTTGGATTACTATGATCCAAAAATTTTCCTATGCTTTGAAAGATACTTGTTTTGGTGAAATTCTACAAATTTTGATAAGTAAAGTATTAACCCTTATTCATGCCTTGCTCCTATTATGACAACAGACTTCAATCTCTGTACTTTCCCTTGACCAGGTGGTGGACTCGGAGGACGGAGCAGATGAAAAGGCCATAACAGCCATGGGATTGCTCAGCACGATAGAGACGCTCATCAACTGCATGGAGGAGAACCCAGAGATCATGGCACAGATTGAGCCTATCACCCTCCAGGTGGTTGGCCTCATCCTCAGCAAAAGTGTTATGGGTAAGCATTTTAGGGCGCAAGTTGAAACTTTTCTAAGTTGTGGTTTGATGTGGCTTTTAACGTCTTTTTTTCCATGTAATTCTAGTGTTTGCCTTATTTGTGCATGTTGATAAGGTACTTCTCTTACAAAAAAAAAAAAAAAAAAAAAAAAAAAAGTCAAATTTGACGTGAATGCACTGCTCCACCCACAGAGTTTTACGAGGAGGCCCTTGCGTTAATCTACAGTCTCACCAGCACGAGGATATCCCCAGACCTCTGGAAATGCTTTGAAATGATGTATCAGGTGAGAATGTTTAAAGGTATTTTTGGAAAGCTTAACCCAGAAGTTCACTTTTTTTGTGGGTTTCATTTTCTGAAGTTTGAAGTAAATGTAGCTTGATCGAGACATTTTAGCTATTGTGTCAACAAGACATCTGGGTTCCTTTGAAGTTCTTTTTCTAAACAATGTACAAAGTATCCTTTTTAAGTTAAAAGAGAGTAACCAGTGGCTAAGACCATGATAGACATTTTTACTTTCATGTTGTTACTTTAGATCTGCTCCACAGTTGGAGTCTATAGAATTAATAGAAATTCAGAGAAGGAAATTAGGTTAGTTTTTCTTTGGTTGAATTGATAAATATTTCAAACAATTTCAATGAATATGTTGCTTCATGCTTGGCTTGTGGATATGAACCCTGTTTGGTATCTTTGCTTTTTTTGAGAATGTTTGTCAAATTTTAAACTACTTTCAAAAGATGTTGCATCATGATACTGCCAGGAATGATCCTAGAAATTAAAACAAACTTGTCTGGTTGATATCTTTACTTTTTTGGTGCACTTATGCCATCAAAGTTACAAGATCAACCCAGAACAAAGCAGGAATGAAGTACCATATGGATTTTATATCTGTGTGGTTTCTGAGTCCTGTGACAAGACTTGGATATTGTAACATTTGATCTTTTATGTATATTAAACTTTATAGTCAGGTCAGTTTATTGATGGAGCTTGTTTATTTATATATCCATGTTTTGCATGCAGATTGATTTTTTATGTAATATCTTTTGTTTCTTTCAACTTTTGCAGATGTTCAAGGTAGATGGCTTTGACTACTTCACGGAAATGATGCCAGCACTCCACAACTACATCACTGTTGACACAGAAGGCTTCCTAAGCAGTGAGGCTCGAGTTGCTGCAGTGTTTGAAATGTGCAAGAGTATTTTGACACAGGTGAGTGTTAGATACCCTTTTGCTCTACATATATTTATATATGGGAAGGTTGTGTGTTTATAGATGGAAATGACCTGCAAAGTTATTATCACTGCTTATCAGGGGGGGCTAAAGTAATTTTTTTTTTTTTTTTTTTTTTGTGAAGAATCGGGATTTATAATTATTAATAATGTGGTCATGTTGGCCATGGCTAAAACGAACCATTGACTCAAGTGATAAACTGGAACCATGTATGGATTACAGGGCATCCATATAATCATTACTAATGAGATTAATCATCAAATTAGACTCTTCTTTAACCCAGTCACGCCGGGTATATTTTGTAGCCAAAATAAAAAAATCCGGGCGGCTACAAAATCGGCGGCGAAGCTCCCCGGAGTCTGTCCCGCCCGGCCGCGCGCTGCTGCTGCGTCGGAGCGCAGCCCCGAGACAGCATCACACTGGCGGGCCGCCCGGCAATATTTATTTTTTCCGGTGTCTCATATATGTGACACCTGGGACGAATGGGTTAAAATTTGCGTCGAGTATTGTGGCAGACAATTCTTATAGAGAGATGTCTGTGTGAGAATTTACTGACTTGACTTTTTTTTAAGTACTGTATTTCTGCTTATCTGAATGACCTGGTCAGCTGTTGAGGTTATCTTACTATCCTCTTTACCACCTCTATAAGTTATACCATGTTTCTCGTTGACCTGTGTGACCTTGCACTATCAAGAAGTTTACCAATTTATCCATTTTCTTTAGGAATATATGTGACTTGTTTGACATGTATTCTTGTAGCTTTGATATCATGAACAGACTAAAACCTTGAACTCTTGCAAGTGATTGTGAATTTTTTTGGCCATCCTGGGTCAGTGCCTCAAAGGCCACTTAGGAATGAAAGTGCTGTGCTAACAGATTTCCAAACTGCATTTAAACTTGTGGCCAAACTTGAAGAGTTAAGTAGGAAATTGAGACCTAAATAAATGCTGCTAAGAAAGTGCTGAAAGTGACACATCACTAGTGAAAGATGAGGATGGGAAGTGCATAAAATCAGTAAAGAAACATTAAACCATAAGTTGAGTTTCATCACATTGAGATTGTCACATGTGCATCCCAGAGAGAGACTGAAAGAGGACATAAAATGGCATGAATGCACATTGAAGCTGGTTGTTTAGGATCAATTGTTCAGAAAGCTAGTGAGAGAGCTGCATATAGATAAAGTGAAAGGCTTCAAAAACTTGAAAAATAAATATCAATTACCGCAATCCTGTTCTAGATATGCAGTATGTTGAAAGTGACCATTTGTGCTTGACCGAATGCCACTGGGTACATGTAATGTTCAGTGTAGTTTTGTCTTGTGAGATATTTAAACATAGATGGCATCTAAATATTCTTTGATTTTGATGCAAGACTAAGACATTTCCATAAATCAGGGAAAAGGTAAACAGTTGGCATGACATGTAGATACCACCCCCAGTGCTAATTGGTTAATATGTATTAGCTCTCTGATTGTAGTGGATGGTTCTTGGGCAGTAGTTGATAGGCCTGCAATGATAAAAGCAAAGGCTGCCATTCAATATCATACTCTTAGAGAAGATGAAACCATAGTAGAGACAGCCAAAATGTTTGCTGAAGTAGATCTTCAGCTTGGCTGTGGTGGTCAGTACTTTGCTTGCCTCAACTGACATGTAATGCTGATGTGGTGTTCCTTATGATATCATGTAACTTCAAAATGCTAGAACAAGTCCCAAATTTTGATGCAAGAATTCTCAGTTCTCCATTGTTTAAACATATGAAGTGAGATTTAAACTTTTTACAGAAGTTGTTTAGTAAAGGATTGAGTGTTATTCAGGTAATATGTAATGCTATTCCAGGCCACGATCAGGATTGTGAGTGACTAAATAGGAATCTGAAGCACTCTGTGGAAAATGGTGTTGGTTAAAAATACTTAAACAGTAAGAGAAATAGTAAAAGAAAATGTATATATATAAAAGAGTAAATTTAAGCAGGAAAATCAACAAGAATGCAACTTTGCAACAGTCACATCCCATAGATGGCATATGATTGGATAAAATTGACATTTCTCAAAAAAGAAAAAGTAAAAAGCTTTTTACTAATGCTGTCAATATTGATATTCTTATTTTAGACATAGTTATTATAGTGTTCTTGACATTACTAACAGTAATATAAGATACCAGAAAGTATTTTCCAAAACAAGATAATAGAAAATGTTTTCAAAAATCAAGGAAAAGGGTAAACAGGTTGAAATAGTAGTACTTGTATTTGGGTCTTTGTTGCTGAGAACTTTTGGAGTCATCTGTGTAAAAACAATTATTAGATTAAACTTGCAATGGCCATGGCATTATGCATATGCCATTCCTAGTGGCAAGGGGTTAAAATACCCAAATGTACATACATGCCACCTGTCAGAATAGAGTTTATTGAAAATTGGAAGCTCACTCAATGTTTTCCATTAACTCTCACGATATGGATGATATAGAATTTGTGCAAAGTCTACTACTATCTAGATACAGCATATCAAATAGCATACAGACATTAGAAAATGGGAAAAAAAAAAAAAAAGCTAAAATGGCTTATGCAAAAGGGGTAATAGTCTTGTCACTGCACATGGGTGTTTGTATGCACCTGGCCTACAAGCCACACACCCATCAAAGTGGCTTCTCAAGTAAACCTAATGGCTGTTTTTTCAGGTACGTGGACAGCGAAGTGTCTGAATCCAAGGGGTTAACTCTTCAGTTAGATCTCATCACCACTTCACCTTTAATTCCAGGATTGTGCAGAAGATGAGGAGTGTCATGCAGCCAAACTACTGGAGGTGGTTGTGCTGCAGTGCCAGGGCCACATTAACCAGTGCCTCCCATCCATTATCCAGCTCGTGGTAGAGAGACTACTTAGGGAGGTCAAGACAACTGAGTTACGAACGATGCTGTTACAGGTGAGTTCGGTGAAGAGTGCCTGGGAGTGGACTGGGGTTATTTTGTTTGCCTGCTTAATGTTCGAAAGGCTGGAGGTTGTGGGAGGATTGAGATAGAGGGGTCGGGAGGCATGGCTTGAACATGACTAAGGAAGAAGATAGATATTTATTTGCTTTGCTTTAGCTGGTGGTTCTGATTTTATTATTCCTTGATTGGCTTGTATTTTTTATTTTTTTTTTTTTTTAGAAAGATATTGATTTTTAATGTAATGAAGCATTTCATGTCATGATAAGGGGACCTAGTTGATAGACTGACTGAATATCAAAGGTACAGTCTGTCAGTTTTTTTTATGGAGGAATAAGTGCAAATGGTATGCTGTGTTAAAAATATGCTAAAACACATTTTACATAGAAGTGTGTACCTGTGCATGGTTATGTATTTTTGCATGTACTTGCATATTTATTTACAAGCTTGTCTTTTTGTATGCAGGAATGTTTTAGTTTCTGCATCTGAACATTACAAGTAAAAAGTTTGTGTGTAGAGTACATACAAATAATATTGAACTGCAATATATAAGAGGTATTACTGATGTCAGTGACAAGGTAGACATGGTGCTGAAAATCTACTAATTGATTGCTTGTCTCTTGTCTTATTATTTTACATTTTGCAAGTGGTATTGCACTAACTGATTGTCGCTGACATCTGTAGCATCTCACATTTTCTCCCCATATTTTCATTTTCCTTCAGACCAAGAAACTGAGAAAAATATTATGTAATATTTACTGTCTACATGTGTCATTTTCTGACCAGTAGGATCCTTTCTTTACCCAAGTAGGAGAATTGTTAATGAAAGACATTGTAGAAAAAGTAAAATTGGGAAATATGAATCTGTTTCACAAGTATATGACAAAAGCAGATCATTTAGATCAGTAGAAGATTTGGAAATCCTCATATTTGTCTTTTTCCCCCCACCTCCAAAAGAATAATAAAAAAAAAATTAATACCTAATATTTACAACTCTAATAACCTCTTCCTTAATAGTCAGAGCTAAATCTGCCCTAGATGATCATTTTCATCAATCATCATCATCAATCATCATCATCATCATTATCAATCATCATCATCATCATCATCAATCATTATTCATTATTCATCAATTATCATCAGTTATCATCATCAATCAAATGAGAACCTCCATTATCCCTACACGCTACACTGGTTGAAAAATGGAATCTTAAACCGTGGTGCACCGTTCCAGGTTGTGATAGCTACACTTTACACGGCGCCGGATCCCCTACTACAGGTGCTCGAGTCTACCACTTTGCCCAACACAACCACCACGCTCACATCTCACTTCATAAAGCAGTGGATTCATGACACTGACTGCTTCCTTGGGTAAGTAACCCCCGTCACTTTTGATTGTGTGTTATTTATTTATTTTATTTTATTTTATTATTTTTTTCCCTCCCTGAAACTGCTAAAATCTGCTCCAAAGGGTGACAGCACTTTTATATTGGTTGTCTAGCTAGTTATTCTTAGCAACAGTGTTTTGAAGGTAACTAAATCAATGCTAGTCTTGTCTTTAAATGAAGTTTGGTATATTTTTTCTCTCTCCATGAAAGTAATTTTTGTATACGATTTTCTTTTATTTTTTGGGCATTTCTGTATCTGATTTATAATTAGGGTATGGTGAAGCCTTGAAATAATTAGGATTGAAGGTGTGAAACATCTTGGATGAAGGCTTAGATTAGTTTCTAATGTTCACATGCATATGTGAACATTATCTCTGATGGGTATGTAGTATTTGTTTTGCAAAAATGGTATATTTTGAAATAAGGAAAGATAGTTTATTAATATGCCTCTGGTTTATGTGCTATTCCTATCTTGGCTGACTTGGTCGTGGCTGTGGAGGATAAGTCATTCACGTCATGATACTATGTTGCATGCATTACATATACTGTTCATTATAGAGTACCTTCATGCTCACATGTCACCTGCCCTTAGCTCTTCTTGAGAGAGAATAGGTTTGGCTATCATTTTGTATGAAAGTGACAGTATTTAGTGCATAATCATATGCCTGCTCTCCCAGAAATATGTTGCACACTAAAATATTGTGCTTTCTTGCTGCTACTGTGAGTGTTTATCATCAACTTTGTAGTTTACATGATTAATCTTCTGTTACGTGCTTAGATTGTTCATTTGGTGCTCTTTATGAAATAGGCCCAGAGGGAAGCGCAGTCATCTATGTGCAACCTCTGGAGTGGAAGCCAAGCATGCCCCAAATTCTCCTGAAGGTATTGGGATAAGAAGGCTGGCTTTTATAAATGAGTTTAAATCAAACCAAATCCCAAATCAAGAGGGGAAGGATCTCAAAAGGATATTGTATCCATCATTCCCTTTGTAGTATTATATGTAGAGAATTAGTGGGCCTTAATGATAGGCCCATAGCTTGGCCAGTTAGGGTATCTATGAAAATGATAGTAAAGCTAGAGTAAGTGCTAAACAGAGACCTCTTGCCCTCAGCCTTCACGATCGGAAGGTGTGCGTGCTGGGCATGTGCACGCTCCTCCAGTTGGGGCCTGAACGCTTAGGAGTCCTCCAGGAATGCCACAAAGAGATTCTACCAGCCATGATTCTCTTATTCCAAGGCTTGAAGAGAGCATATGCAGGTGAGGCCAGTGCTGTTGAGATATTATCCCCATTATATGGTGCTTTAGTATTTTTGACGAAGAATATTTGATGTAATGGTTAATTTTGTGTAGCGCGCTCTCATACTTATCTTCCCTAATAGCAAAAGCTGCTGAGGAGGACGATGATGATGATGACGATGACGATGATGACGACGACATCGAGCATGGTGAGTTGCAAGATATTAGACCAAGTTTATTAAAGCATACAGTAAAATGAAATTTTAAAATATCCTTAATATTTTAAACGTGTTAGTTCTCAGTTAAATAGAAAAGGTCATACTTCTCTCACTTGTCTGTTTCTGTTAATGCCTACTTCTACCTCCGTCTTTTTATTAATACATTTCTATTAGCACTTTTTCTAAAATTTCTTTTCATTCCTTTTTCACCATACTTTTCCTTATTTCTAAAGCTCCTATGCCTCATACATATGTTTCATAGCTTTTTTAATTAAAGGCAAAGAGAGGCTCAATCTCTTCTCATTCCAACCCCCACAGAGGTGCTGGAGAGTGATGAAGACGAACTTGATGATGCTGGCGAAGATTACTTAGAAAAGCTTGAGGAGAAGGTAAACAAGGCCACAGCCAGTGCCCCGTTTGCCATAAGTGCCTCCCTGCAGGTGTGTGTGTGTATACCTCGGCTGCACCTGGAGTACCCACCAGGCCAGCCTTGCCTGGCTGCAGAACAGCTGCCCCAATTGTTTTTCCACTGGGTTAATCTGTGCATCCTCTGAATGTGTGCTTGGTGCCTGCTCCAACCCTGGAGGACAGGAAATTTCTGTGCTTATGTATTTTATTTAGTGTATTTTTCATCAGTTGATTTTATTAGACTAGAAAGACTGGAGATATATTTGATATTTGATTCTTCTGTCATTATTAATAATGATAGTTAATTAACCCCTTTTGAATGCATAGATTAGCTCAACCTTGTAGACTTATTCCCAACATAATGGAAGGTTTATTAATTTCATTTGAAGTTTTTAGTCTGAGTGGCATCTGAGGTTTAGATTTATGGCAGAGCTGTTCAACACTTCAATAACTTGAGCCTGTGAGAAATTGAGGTGCATTTTGCATGCAGAAAATCTAAAAATGTCTTTAATTAAAGACTATAAAAGTCTAATCTTAATTCACCTTTAAAGTTACAAAACAGAAAAGCATGTTCTGAGAGTTTCAAATGGCATTTGCATGGCAATGAAAGGAGCAAGTCCTCAGTTGTTTATGGCACCTAGTTGTTCATGTGTTACAAGTTGAAATTGTTGTAACAGATTCCTTTGCTTGCATGATGAAGGGTTGATAGGAATGGCTTTCTCTTTTTATTTATTTATTTTTTTTTCTTTTTTTGTCATCCCTTAAAGCAAATAGATATCAGATAAGGTCATTTGGTGATGATAAGCTGGGTAATTTATATAAAGATGTCAGGATCAGTTGTTTCATATACATTTGAGGCAAGAAACGACTGGAAATACTTGGAACATTGAGTTGCTGCCTAGCAAATTTTATCTAATCAAATGTAAAGTATAACTAAAACTTGTAGATATTTGAATGAGCCACTTAGATTGTGTATGAGTATCTTAAATAATAGTGTTTTATATTTAGTATTATACAAGTGATAGTGTGTATATTTTTTCACTTGGAAAGAATTCTTATTTTTAGTTTTAGTATGATTATTACTATCTGTTAATCCAGTTACTTATGGCAGTGAGTTATGCTTATTGTTAATATAATGCATCTTAGTTGCTAAATGTAGGAAGCAAAATATTTAAGGTGTAGAATTGTAGGAGTTGAATACTACCTGTTGTCGTAATGCCTGAATTTGCTTGTTAATCAGGATGATTTATTTAATATAAGGGTAAATCTGGTATCAGTTCAGTGAGCTTCATGACCCCACAAATAATTTTGATACTCCTTCATAAGGATCTGGGTCAGCTTAGTGTGAAATACTCAGCTTTTCTGCATGAAATGTATTCACAACTCACCCTGTGGTTTGAACTAGAGGCAGCTTATATTTTGATAACTTTTCCTTTATTTATTTTTTTCCACATTTACTTCTATACATTAGATCCATGCATATTATGCAGTGGAAAAAGTTACTAAGTACAGTCAAGTGTTGCAGTGTATGTAGGAGGGAAATTGGCTGTGTCTGAAATCCATTTTCTGTGCCACTCTAGGATGATGACGACGACGACGACGATGATGGTCTAGAGGAAGAACGGGACGAGACTGCATTGGAGTCTTTCACGACACCACTAGATAAAGACGATTGCGAAGTAGATGAATATCTTGTCTTCAAGGAGGTTATGCATGGTTAGTCATTGATCTTTTTATTATTTTTTTTTCCCCCACATTTTATCCATTTTTTTACTTTTGTGATTTTCTTTTACACTTTTCTCTTCTCTCCCAATTTTCTACCCCTCTTCTTTTACCACATGCTTACACTTTAGCAGCTGGATCGCTTGCTTGCAATCCAGCTACCACGCTAAGCATACACGTGTCAACTAGAGATAGCTGACACAGGCTGGGCCATTTTAGAGAAAAGGCCCGGGTGAAGATAGACTTCGCAAATCTAACTGAACTCTAACCTCTTCTTTCAGCTCTTAAACTTCCTCCTCACCCTTCCCTTCCACCTCAGCCTCTTCTGCCTCACCCTTCCCTTCCACCTCAGCCTCTTCTGCCTCACCCTTCCCTTCCACCTCAGCCTCTTCTGCCTCACCCTTCCCTTCCACCTCAGCCCTTCTCTTCCTTTTCCACCTCAGCCCTTCTGCCTCACCCCTTCCCTTCCACCTCAGCCCCTTCTGCCTCACCCTTCCCTTCCACCTCACTGCCTTCCACCTCAGCCCTGCCTCACCCTTCCCTTCCACCTCAGCCTCTTCTGCCTCACCCTCACCCTTCTGCCTCACCTTCCCTTCCACCTCAGCCTCTTCTGCCTCACCCTTCCCTTCCCCTCAGCCCTTCTGCCTCCCTTCCACCTCAGCCTCACCCTTCCCTTCCACCTCAGCACCTCATCTGCCTCACCCTTCCCTTCCACCTCAGCCCTTCTGCCTCACCCTTCCACCTCAGCCTCTTCTGCCTCACCCTTCCCTTCCACCTCAGCCTCTTCTGCCTCACCCTTCCCTTCCACCTCAGCCTCTTCTGCCTCACCCTTCCCTTCCACCTCAGCCTCTTCTGCCTCACCCTTCCTTCCACCTCAGCCTCTTCTGCCTCACCCTTCCCTTCCACCTCAGCCTCTTCTGCCTCACCCTTCCTTCCACTCCTCACCCTTCCCTTCCACCTCACCTCTCTGCCTCACCCTTCCCTTCCACCTCAGCCTCTTCTGCACTTCCCTTCCACCTCAGCCTCTTCTTCCTCACCCTTCCCTTCCACCTCAGCCTCTTCTGCCTCACCCTCCCTTCCACCTCACCTCTTTGCCTCACCTTCCCTTCCACCTCAGCCTCTTCTGCCTCACCCTTCCCTTCCACCTCAGCCTCTTCTGCCTCACCCTTCCCTTCCACCTCTGCCTCTTCTGCCTCACCCTTTCCACCTCAGCCTCTTCCCTCACCCTTCCCTTCCACCTCTGCCTCTTCTGCCTCACCCTTCCCTTCCCACCTCAGCCTCTTCTGCCTCACCCTTCCCTTCCACCTCTGCCTCTTCTGCCTCACCCTTCCTTTCCACCTCCTTCCACCTCTGCCTCTTCTTCCTCACCCTTCCCTTCCACCTCCTTCCCACCTCTGCCTCTTCTTCCTCACCCTTCCCTTCCACCTCCTTCCACCTCTGCCTCTTCTTCCTCACCCTTCCCTTCCACCTCCTTCCACCTCTGCCTCTTCTTCCTCACCCTTCCCTTCCACCTCCTTCCACCTCTGCCACTCACCTTCCACCTCCTTCCACCTCCTCTCTTCCTCACCCTTCCTTCCACCTCCTTCCACCTCTGCCTCTTCTTCCTCACCCTTCCCTTCCACCTCCTTCCACCTCTGCCTCTTCTTCCTCACCCTTCCCTTCCACCTCCTTCCACCTCTGCCTCTTCTTCCTCACCCTTCCCTTCCACCTCCCTTCCACCTCTGCCTCTTCTTCCTCACCCTTCCCTTCCACCTCCCTCCACCTCTGCCTCTTCTTCCTCACCCTCCCTTCCACCTCCCTCCACCTCTGCCTCTTCTTCCTCACCCTTCCCTTCCACCTCCCTCCACCTCTGCCTCTTCTTCCTCACCCTTCCCTTCCACCTCCTTCCACCTCTGTCTCTTCTTCCTCACCCTTCCTTTCCTTCCACACCTCACCCTTCCTCCACCTCTCCCTCCTCACCCTTCCTTTCCACCTTCTTCTTCCCTCTCCTCCCTCTCCTCCTCCACCCTCTCCTCCCTCTTCCTCCTCCACCCTCTCCTCCTCTCCTCCCTCTCTCTCCTCTCCCTCTCCTCCTCTCTCTCCTCCTCCTCCCTTCCCTCTGCCCTCTCCTCCTCTCCCTCTTCTCCTCTGCCTCTTCCTCCTCCCTCTTCTCCTCCCCTCCTCCTCCACCTCCTCTCTCTCCTCTCTCCCCCTCTCCTCCTCTTCCTCTCCTCCCTCCCCCTCCTCTGCCCTCTCCCTGCCCTCTCCTCCTCCCTCTCCTCTGCCCTCCTCTCCCTCCCCTCTCCTCCTCTCCCTCTCCTCTCTCCTCCTCTGCCCTCTCCTCCCTCTGCCCTCCTCCACCCTCTCCTCTCCCCTCCTCCTCTCCCTCCTCCACTCCTCTCCACCCTCTCCTCTCCACCCTCTTCCTCCTCTCCCCCTCTCCTCCTCTGCCCTCTCTCCCCCCCCTCTCCTCCTCCTGCCCTCTCCTCCTCCACCCTCTCCTCCTCTCCTCTCTCCTCCTCCTCCTCCTCCTCCCTCTCCTCCTCCTCCTCCTCCTCCCTCTCCTCCCTCCTCCTCCTCTCTCCTCTCCTCCTCTCCTCCTCCTCCTACCCTCCTCCCTCCTCATCCACCCTCTCCTCCCTCCTCCCTCTCCTCTCCACCCTCTCCTCCCTCTCCTCCTCCCACCCTCTCCTCCTCCCTCTCCCTCTCCTCCTCCACCCACTCCTCCTCCTCATCCACCCTCTCCTCCCTCTCCTCCTCCACCCTCTCCTCCCCTCCTCCTCCACCCTCTCCTCCTCTCTCCTCTCCTCTCCTCCCTCCTCCTCCACCTCTCCTCCCTCTTCTCCTCCACCTCTCCTCCCTCTCCTCTCCTCCCTCCTCCTCCTCCACCCTCTCCTCCCTCTCCTCCTCCACCCTCTCCTCCTCCACCCCTCCTCCCTCTCCTCCTCCACCCTCCCTCTCTCCTCCACCTCCTCCACCCTCTCCTCCACCATCCCCTCCCTTAACTCCCCTCCCCTCCCTTCCCTCCCCTCTTCCCTTCTCTCCTCTCTCTCTCTCCTCCTTCCCCTCCTCATCCCCCTCTCCTATCCCTCTTCCTCTTCTCTCATCTCTCTCCTCCTTCTCCTCCTTTTCTTCCTTCTCCTCATCCCCCTCTCCTTTCCCTCTTCCTCTTCTCTCCTGTCTCCTCCTTCCCCTCCTCATCCCCCTCTCCCTTTCCCTATGCCTCTTCTCTTCTTTTCTCTTCTCTTCCTGCTCTACCTACTCTTTTTCAGCTCTTGTTTTTGCTAAAAGAATCAAATATTACATTTTCCTCACCCAGATGTTAACAATTGCCTAAAAGAACCTACTCTTCAATTTTTTCTAGCCCTGGAAGCTAATGCTCCAGCCTGGTACCAAGCCCTCACTGGAGGTCTAAACTCGGATCAGCAGAAGGCAATGCAGGAGATCAGCACACTGGCTGATCAGAGGAGAGCTGCAGCCCAAAGCAAGAAGATCCAACAGAGTGGAGGTGTGTGCGTGTGTGTGTCTGTGTGCAGGCATTGGTTTTAGGGTGAAAGGGAGGATGTGTTAGGGAGAGGGTGGCAGGTGGTGTAAGAGCCAGATACAGGTGGTTGTGATCTGTTACTTCCCACCCCTTTGTGTATGATTTTGATTTAGTTTACATGCACAAGCTGTAGATGCTTTTGGACAAGATATTTACACTGATTATGCAAAAGTTAGTGATGGTAGTAGGAAGTCATTTTGATGTTTATGAATTTATTTTCTAGTATAATACACAATATTATTTATAGTATCTTTTTAATAATGGTGTCTTTGACATCAGTTTTGTTTGATGAAATTATATCATAGGATTAAAAGATAACCTTAAGGTTTCTCATAACTGGGAAGATAATTGATAATTCATTGCCGTTTGTTGCTAAAACTTTCTTTTGTTCTTTTCAGGTTACAACTTCCAGCAAGTGTCAGTTCCCACCAGTTTTAATTTTGGAGGGTCTTTTGGCTCGTAATCCTGGTATGGAGGGTTGTAATATTCCTTCAAGTTTTCATCATGCAGTGTGCAGTTATTTTTTTATAATTGTTTTTTGTATCTTTCACCTCATCTTGCTCTCTTTCTCTTGCTCGCTCTCTCTCTCTCTCTCTCCCCCCCCCCTCATCTCTCTCACTACTCTCTCCCTCACGTCTTCTTTGTCCATCAAATTTCTGATCTTTCTTTAGTGCCTTAAACATTCATTTATAGGCATCAAAAAGTGCACTAAAGTTTTCACCTCCTGTATGTGGTTTAAGAATGTAAATGTTGACTGTGTACAAAAAAACAAAACAAGATTTAAAAAAGTAAAAAAAACAAAAAAGAAAAAAAAAAGTAAAATAAAAAAGAATTGAATGAAATCTCGGGATGTCTGAATTTGGCTGCAAAGGCTTGCTCAGTGCCAGCCAGACAGCTAGCCTCTGTCGTTCCATGTGAGGAGCCCTTTTGCCAGGAAGAAAGGCCGGGCTGGACTAGGCTTACAAGGCAGCAGGTCTTGTGTGTGTATGTGATAGGTAGCTACAGTAGCATATCCCCCAAGTGAACCAGGCTGAGTGTTTTCATTTGATTACAGTAGACTGTAACCCTGCAGTAATTGATGCCTTCTGTTACTCTTCTGTATAATTATAGATGAATAGGATTAACTGTTGGAGTAGGTCGTCCTCATAATCATCATCATTTAATAATAGTCGCCACCACCACCACTGTCTTTACATTATTGCTCATATTTGGCCAAGGGTGACATATATGATGTATTCATTTTTTGTGTATTTTGTTGAACAGGGCTCCGGTGAGCCCTTTTTTATTATAGTAATGTCTTTTGTTGTTATAGTGTTTATTTTCTCTTCTTAGAGATATGTTTCATTATCATTAACTTGGTTCCCATTTTGTATTTTGGTTTTGATTAGCATTATTGATTATTACCCTTATTTTCATTTATTTGATTTTTTTTTTTTTTTTTTTTTTTTTTTTTTTTCTTTTTTTACATGTTTTTTGAAAATACATTTGTTATACTTTTTGGTCCCTTCCCCTTGTGGGAATGTTCTCCCATCCGGTGACCCCCAAACTGGAGCACAGCTATGATCGATGTACAAAAGAGCCGCCCCAGCCTCCCAGGCCCGAGTGGGGAATGTGGGTGGGCAGGACATGCCCCCCTCCCCCTGTACACATCCCCAGCCCCATGGCTGTTGTCCTGCCCCCCTCTGCACTAGAATGTGGTCAGAAGGCACTCGGGCAGAAGTGGAAGGAGACCTGTTGGAAATACAGTTGGCGCTGTAGGTCGGAGCGAGCGGAGGCCATGGCGTGGGCGGCTCTCCATAAAACCCCCGCGGGTGGATCTTGCCGGCTCTCTGCGGATCCTAATGGTGCCCTGGTAACGGTCCCCCTGTATATAACGCATCCAGGTCCAGCTGGGGCCAGGGACGTCTTCCTCCCCTACACTACCTTCCTTCCACCATTCACCAACAATCTCTGCCCTCCCCTTTCCTCTTCACTACCCTCTCCCCTCCCCCCTCCTGACTACCCTCTCCCCTCCCTTTCCTCTTCACTACCCTCCCCTCCCCTTTCCTCTTCACTACCCTCTCCCTCCCCTTTCCTCTTCACTACCCTCTCCCCTCCCCTTTCCTCTCACTACCCTCTCCCCTCCCCTCCCTTCACTACCCTCTCCCTCCCTTTCCTCTTCACTACCCTCTCCCCTCCCCTTTCCTCTTCACTACCCTCTCCCCTCCCTTTCCTCTTCACTACCCTCTCCTCCTCTTTCCTCTTCGCCCTCCCCTTTCCCCTCCCCTTTCCTCTTCACTACCCTCTCCCCTCCCCTTTCCCCTCCCTTTCCCTTCACTACCCTTTCCCCTCCCCTTTCCTCTTCACTACTTTCCTCTTCACCCTCTCCCCTTTCCTCTTCACTACTACTTCACTACCCTCCCCTCCCCTTTCCTTTTCACTACCCTCTCCCCTCCTTCTTGAATCCCACCTTCACTCACCCTTCCTCTCTCCTCCTACCTCATCCTTCCATCCCCCCTTTCCCACCCACCTCACACTACCCTCTCCTCTAACATAGCCCTCCCCCTCCCCTCCCACCTCCACCCTTCCCTCTCCCACCTCCACCCCCTCTCCCTCTCCCCCTTCCCTCCCTCCACCTCCACCCTTCCCTCCCTCCCTCCACCCTTCCCTCTCCCTCCCACTCCACCCTTCCCTTCCCTCCCACCTCCACCCTTTCCTCTCCTCCCCTCCACCTCCCTCTCCCTCCCACCTCCCCCTTCCCCTCCCTCCCACCTCCACCCTTCCCTCTCCCTCCCACTCCACCCTCTCTCCTCCCCTCTCTCCTCCCACCTCTCTCCCTTCTCTCTCCCTCCCACCTCTCTCCCTTCTCTCTCCCTCCCACCTCTCTCCCTCCTCCTCTCTCCCTTCTCTCCTCCCACCTCCACCTTCTGTCTTCTGCCTTCCTTGCCCTTGGTTCCCAGAGTATGACTGGCATCCCCACACCCCCTTTCTCTGTCGTCCTTTCTCCACTGAGTTTGTAAAGCCATCTAGTGAACCACTCCCCTGAGTTTTTGGAATTCTCTCCCTACTTTTGCCCTCCCTCCCTCCCTCCCCTTACAGATATACACACTGCCCATTTAAGCCCTCCCCATCCCTTTTTTTTTTCTAAGCTACATAAGTCATGGTGATACTCCCAAGTGATTATTATGAATGAATCAGGTGATATGACCCCTCAGTCCCTTTTCTTTTTTTATTTATTTTATTTCATTTTATTATTATTATTATTTATTTATTTTCATTTTGTGTTGGTCTGGTACTCTCATTCTTCAGCTCATGAGACCTCATTAATGGTCTGCCACCCTCATTGCTGACCGGGCGAGGCAGCACCCCTGGTCACCTCATTTTTGGCATGGATGATAGACTGGTCACAAGCCATCCCCCCATGCCCTTCCGCTACCCCCTCCTCCCTCCCCCTCCTCCACATGCCATCCTGAGAGCCTATGCAGTAGACAGGCTTGTAATTTTGTATAGGTGATATGCCTCCTCTTTTTTTTTTTTTTTTTTTTTTTTTTTTTTTTTTTTTTTTTTTTTTTTTTTTTTCCTTTGAGTCTCTTAAAAATGTATTAAGGTCAGTTATTTTTTTTGTGTGCACGTGTTTGTGTTGCCTAGCAAGTTGTGGCTGTATGCCCAAGATTGTGAGCTGCTCCTTGACTGGCAAGCTTTGTCCCATCAGATCATGATAGATGTGTGGTTTTGTTTATTAGGAGGAAAGTTCATCTAGAGCAATGGAATTGCATTCAATCTGACCGACCATCTGCAGCATTGCCTTTGATCTTTTGGTAGATGTCTGGGTTAAGTAGACCAATTTGCATTTTAAAAGTGTTGAAATAGCCTGTAACTTTATAAAGTGAGGTTATGATACTGCACTTTTCAATAAAATCATGGAGGAAATGAGTTTTTTAGCGTGCAGTGCAAGCAACAGAAACACCCCAGAGGAAGGGATGTCATTTGGTGTATATACGTCATAGGCCCACACCAGTGTTGCTCTGTTGGTGCAGGATTGACAGTGGTCTTTTTTTCTTTTTTTTAGTTAGATATCGTGTATTAGCATCATCTCTAAATTTGAGAGCATATTTGTTGTTTTTTCTTTTATATATTTAGATTGTGTGATTCATGCCTGAGCGCTTTCTAAGCGTTAGGGAGAGAGAGATGTGTAACATTAGCACAGCATCTAGTGTGTATGTGCAAGTTGGGAGATGGGAGATTGAGCAAAGTAATTCTAGTATGAAATGATGTTTTGTTGCAGAATGCAACTTCACGCAAGGACTGCCTGACAGTAACTCCTTTTTGTATATTGTCAGACTTGTTCTTCTAATTTGTATCATAGTTTGCTGCATGACAGTTTCTTTGTGATTTAGGAGGCTCAGGAAGATTTATCAATTTTGCAGCTATATACATATTAAAAAATATATATCTACATATATATTTGTCATCTGAGTTGTATCACCAGACAGATAAGTGTATCAAGGAAGGGGGAGGGCAATTGACTGGAAATCCTGGGACATGGGACAGGCCAGCTCTCTTGGGGTGGTCACAGTGGTCGTTGCCCTCTGATGTTCATCTTATTTTTTGTTAGAATTGAACCCTGTCTCTCATTAGGAGCTGCGCACGATGAACGTCTGGTGCCTCCAAACTATCTAGTCCACTCATTTTTGAAACCATAATTTTTGAGCTTCTTAATTATGGAGTTTTTGTCCTTTTTTCATTTTTTAAGTTTTTTGTTAATTTTCTTTTTTTCTCCAATATATATTACCAAGGGTGTTTTGTGTTCTTGTAAATGTCAGATTGGAAGGGAAATAGGGTTCTTGATGATATGGCTGGCTGAAAGTAGTAGTAAAAAAAAGAACCTCCCTTTCAAGTTTATTCACGGGTGATTTCTGGGAAGCTTGGCATAGTGCCTATTTACTACGTAAAGTAAACCACTTAAAAGAAGCTCATAAATTGTACAGAGCAGCTTTGTGTTGCCTGTATCTACATGATATTTTTGAAGGCCATCTGTGATATTTGTTCTGATTATATGAAAGTAGTTAATGGGTTTTATTTTGACAAAATGAAAAAAAAAATTGAAGATATACACTGTAAGATTGTTGCAGATCATGCAAATATGCCTGTTTCTTTTTATGTTAGGTTTTTCTTTGTTTTTGATGATTTACTTATATGCAGGCATCACATAATCAATTCTGAGTGGTGCGTGGTCCTTGCCAGTGGCCACTCGTGCCAGTTTGTGTTGCTCAAAAATGCATGATCGCTCAGTCCAGTGTGTGCTCTGGTGTTGCGCTGGCATGCTGGTTGGCACGTGCAGTGGTGTGATAGCAGTTCAGGGAGGCAGGTATATCACTTGCTTGAGCAGAATTTGTACCCCTGCAACTGGCATGATAGATGTTTGTCTGTTGTGGGCCTCGCAGAACTGCACGTTCCCTACAGCATGTGTTGGTGTGGTATTGGCATCACCCTGTTCAGTGTGGCACTTCTGTATTTATCATGCTTCCGAAAGTAACATTGTTCAAGTCTTGCTTTGAGAGTATGAGGATGAAGATGTTATCCTGTCCAGTGTGATGCTGTTCAGTGCCATGCTGCTTGGCACTTGGTGCCCAGTTTGTCACTGTCCATGTGATACTCCCCAGTGCACATTCCTATCATGGAAGTGTCACAGAGGCCTTGGTCCGCAATAGCCTGTGCTATGGGCCGTGTAAATACAAACGGTTATTGTAAGTAGGAAAGAGAGATTATATTTTTATATAGCAAGATGCCACCAATGCCCAAGTAGGGACAATTAGCCATGCTAAGTCCCTGCATTTTTTTTTTTCTTTGTTTTCTTTTTTCTTTTTTTTTCTTTTTTTCTTTTTATTGTTTATTATTTTGTTTATATTGATCCTCCTATTAGCTAGTGCTATGAGGTCGCTTGACTTGCCCTGCCTTGCGTGGCTTGGTGCCTGGGCCTGCCCTACCTCCACACTGCACTTTGTGTTAGCACCACGTATCAGATCCTGCTGTTGTAGTTTTGTGCTAAAGTTTGCCTCTTTTTTTTTTATCTTTTTTTTTTATCTTTTCTTTTCATTTTTTTTTTCTTTGCCCCTTTTTGTATTGTATGTGCTTAGTATCGGTAATTATTTTTATTATTGTCATAATGCTTTTTTGTAATTTAAGTTTCACTTTTAAATGTATAGTAGTAGTGATTAATGTAAATAATTATTTCTCAGCTCATTAAAAACTTAACAGGTAAATGATGTCACCTGTATAGTATATTGTAGCAACATGTGCAAGACAATTTTCTATTTATTTATTCCAGAAAGTAAACTTCAAGTCCTATTCAGTTCATAAGAAGAGGAAAAAATTTGTCCATAACAAGTCAGTCAGAACTGGCCATGCTCATAAGCTAAGAGTTGTGGATGGCTTGGGCATTATTTTATGAATGTATAGAGGTGATAGTCTAATACCTTGAGGATGCATCCCTCTTGTATCATAAACTTATAAATGCTGTTTCACATGCTGGCAATACTGTGACTTTTTGATGAGCCATTGGACATCAGTAGCCTTCATCATAGTCTTTATTGTCTAGACAAGATTCTTCATGTGTGCATGTGCGTGTGGAGTTGCCATGTCTGGCTGTGAAATAGCATTGTGTTCTCTCGGTAATGTGTCACCCGAGAAAAAGAACCCATCCAACTCCAGTTTAAAGGCAGTGTTGACTCCACCTTCCCTACCCCAGTGTGTATATATACCTGGAAAACCTCTGTTTTATTGAGGGAATTAAAATTTTGTTATTTGATATTTACCTTTTTTTTTATAGGAACCACCAAGAAATGATACGAGGCTGTGTTAAAATGCCCATTCTGTTGTTAAGTAGTTTTAAAAGTTGAAGATATTTGTTAAAATGTTGAGTAAAGCAGTCAAGGAAACAAGAAAGTGTGCATGTGTAGTGAACGCCAAGGCATTAAAAGCCATACGGGTGGTAGAGGGGCATGTCATATATATATGTGTTTATATATATAGATATATATATACTTATAAGATATATATATATACCCTATGGACACGCGGCGTGTACTAGCCCTTGCTATATGTCGCACCTATTTATTTTTGTTGTCTTTTGTAGTAGGAATCTTCTGTGTCATCTCATTTATTCAGCTTTTTCGGTACAGTGTTTTTTTACCCTCGTTTCCAAGTTCACGGCGGGTACTGTCCTCACCTTTTTTTTGTCTGTTCTCCTTAATTATTATTATTTTTTTTGTCTCTTAAGTCTTCTCGGATGAATCTTGTACGTGGAGCAGTGTTCTTCCTCCAAGAAATCATGTTCCTTCCTCTTCAAACTTTCTCCCTTCTTGCGTGTGTGTTTCATCATCACCGGAACCTCAACCATCATATATTGTGTACAATTCTTTTTGAAAAAGGGTCTTGTTGCAGACAAGTAAGAATCAGTCATGTTGCTTTAGTAAAAGGAAATATAATTTGGGTGTCTTTTATTTTATCCTTTTTTTGTGATTTGGAAATTCAAAGAATAAAAACGTGTAGAGAAAGTGTGGATGAAAATAAATATCATCACAGCCCCACACGTCATAATGAATTGTGTTCAAAAGCTCCTTGTGGCAATTTTCTACATATTGATTTCTTGGATAATCTTGTGAACTTATCTACACATGTGTTCCTCCCCCAATTCCTTGCCTGTTGTTGTCGTGGGGGGCTTAGGAGACGGAGACTGACACCCAATGCAGGGATCTCCCCCGCCTAAGGCCTCAGCCCTCGACTTAACTAATTTTACATGGTCTTTTCTCCCTCCAGCTTTGTTTCCGTCCCTTCTTCAACCCCTCCTCCCCCCCAATCCCTTGCCCGTTGTTGTCGTGGGGGGCTTAGGAGACGAAGACTGAGACCCAATACAGGGATCTCCCCTGCCTAGGGCCTCAGCCCTCGACTCAACTAATTTTGCATGGTCTTTTCCCTCTCCAGCTTTTGTTTGTCTCTTCTCCATCCCCTTCTACTATCTACTTCCTAAGGTGTGAGAGCTGTGCTGAGAGGATGAAAGGCTGACCTAGTGCCAGTCCTGAACGGCCTGCGGGAACTATGGGCACGGTACTCCCGACTAATCTAGCCCTTACCTTCAGTAGCGAAAGGAGGTGGACCGTTTAGGCCTTTTTACATAATCCAGGTTCCCCATGACCAGTAATGAAAATGTAATCCCTTTATTAGAGGCTATGAGGCTAGCCCCTTTATCAAATAGCCCCAACCCAGGCTCTCCTTTGACCACGACTCCGAACACAAACTACTACCCACTCCTCAATGCCTACTAGTGCATTACCCACCCAAGCAGAAAATCAATCTCCAGAAGACATTCCTACCCACCCAACTTCCTCAAATTCAACTCTACCCCTACAACCTTCATCAAACAACCAATCCTCCCTTATTACTACCTTGCAACCTTATTCTCCATCATTCCGTAATACTCCCTCTTCCACACGTCCCCGACCATCCACCACCACCAACCCTACAGATATCTTAAATACTCTGTTTAGCCCAGCTAAATGGGACCGATTTTTCGTGATCCCTGCTACAGCCCCTTACTCAGGCAACACTCTTCTCTTTCAACAATGCCTCCAAAAACAAGTAGGCAGAGTCCCTTTCTATACCAGACGCGATCGCTCCCGTCTGGTAACAATCAGATCAGAAACTGAATCTATAGCACTATCAAATTTAACTGATCATTCTGGCAACCCCATTCCTGCAGAACCTCATCCAACCCTTAATACCTGTACCGGAACTGACTGACTCTCCCCAGCAAACTGCCCAGTCGATACCAAAGATTGGTCAAACTGTGGAGAAGACTTATTAGGATGCCTCAAAGACCAAGATGTGAAATCAGTACATTCCTCCTAAAGGTCAACGAAAGAATCCGACCAATATTGCCAAAATTACCTTCCGTACACATGACCTTCCCTTACGTATCTACATTGGTGGACAATCCCTCCCTGTTCGACCATACTAACCCCCTCCCCGTCAATGTCAAAACTGTTGGCGCTTTGGACATCCTGCCAAACATTGCCGTTCCACAGACCGATGCCCCATATGTGCCCAACCTGGTCATAATCGACCAAACTGCTCAGCACAAACACGAACATGTGCTAACTGCGGCGGCCCCCATAATGTATTTTATAGAGGCTGTCCCACTTACAAGTTTGAATCTGAGGTAGCAACTCTGATACAAAAATGGTCTCACTTTACGTGAAGCCAGACAGGAAGCACGTCGACAAGGTTTCTCTCATACTCCATATTCTAGCAACATCGTTCGCTCAGCCCTTCCCCCTCCACCCCAAAATGTCCCCATTTCCACTTCTACATTCTACATCCCTCAGACCAATTCCTTTGCCACTCTAAACCCAGACACCCCAATCTCAACTACAGCCCCAACACCAACCCCTCTCCCTCCCCGCACTACCCGCAGTAGACAGACTAAACGTTCTAACCCTTCTTCCCCTACAGCACAATCACCTCCACCTACCTATACCTTTGTTCCTGAGACACCAGTCTCCTCTTCCCCCCTTTATTCCACAAAACTCTCCAACCAATTCCATTGCAGAAACAATTACCTTCTCACAAAACTCTCCAACAAACTCCACTGCAGAAACAATGGATGACATTCAAAGCTATATGCTTGAGACACAAGATCCCATAACTCCCTCCACACTTGAAGTGATTGCCGATATCCATACCCCTCCTACTCATATTCCCCCTACACCCCTTCCTCCTAATCCCTCCCAAGACACATCCCCTTCAACTTCAACTATCCATCCTTCCGATATCCATCCTCCTACCACTAATACTCCCCCACACCACTTCCTCCTACTCCCTCCCAACATATCCCACCCCCTTCAACTCCAACTATACGCACATTTTCCCTCCCTCCACCCCCTCTATCCATTCCACTCCCTCCCGGATACACACGGGAATCACTCATGTCACAACAATGGTATTCACTATCGTATGGTCCGACACCTACCATCTTCCTCTCTATCCTTCCTTTTAACTATTTTCAACCACATATGGACGCCAGGAAATTTTCCTTCTCATAATCATCTTTCTTCCCAGTTTGGTCTCCGCCGTGCCTGAAGCACAGCAGACGCACTTGCCCATTTCCAGGCATAACTTACATCTGCATTTGCACGCCATGAATCTGTATTAGCCATATTCTTTGATGTAGAAAAAGCATATGCTACCACTTGGCGGTACCATATTCTACAACAATTGTCCTCCCTAGGTTTACGTGGAAACATGGGTGTCTTCATAAAATCTTTCCTTTCTAAACGTACTTTCCAGGTCAAGATTGCCTCTTCCACGTCATCATCCTTTCCTCAGTTCGAAGGCGTCCCACAAGGAAGTGTGCTTAGTACCACTTTATTCCTTCTTACTGTAAATGACATTGTCCCAGTCCTACCACCAGGAGCCCGGGCATCACTGTATGTTGATGACTTGACCATCTACGCATCTGGCACATCCATATCAGATCTCCTTCAATTCCTTCAGTCTGCAATAACAGACTGAAACCATCTTTTTCTCTCGCTCACATAAAGGTCCCCAACCCCCACTCTTCTTAACGCTCCACTCCAGTACCGTTGTTTTGGCGTTATATTTGACTCCCAAATTGTCCTGGCGAGACCATATCATGTACATTAAAGAAAAAGCTCAACGCCGCCTTACAAACTCTTTCCCACATGTCCTGGGGCTCAGATCACAAAACTCTAATCCATCTTCATGTTATCTTAATCCTCTACAATCTAGATTATGGATGCCATATCTACTCTGCCTCAACCTCCCTTCTTGCTCACCTTGATACAATCCACCACAGCGGTCTCTGCTTCGCCCTAGGCGCCTTCCGCTCCACTCCCGTTGAGAGCCTGTATACTGAGTCTGGCATGCCGTCCCTCTCTCGACGTCGAGCCCTTCTCTGTCTCCGATGCTATGCTCAATTTCACCAACTTTCCCTTACCAAACTAACTATTGCACAATCCCTGCTTCCTACCTTTAACTCTTCTCCACGTTTACCTACTCCTTTCTCCGTACACATGGATACCCTCCTCTCCCATTCCTACTTTCCTCACCTCCGAGCTCTCTCACTTTCTGCCCATTCCATTCCTCCATGGCTTATACCTCACCCCTGTATTTGCGCCTGTTTTCCCTGACCCACCAAAATCAGATATCCCTCCCTCTATCCTTCTCACTCATTTCCTTGACCATGTCTCCATTCATTCCTCCAGCATTCATGTTTACACTGACGGTTCCAAATCCATCTCAAGAGCTAGATTCGCAGTAACCTTCCCAAATCGCACTTTCAAATACACCCTCCCCCCTGAATCTAGTGTCCTTACTACAGAACTATATGCACTCCTTTTTGCCTTAAGACGCATATACTCAGTCCCCTCTTCCTCTTTCACTATTTCAACTGACTCCCGTAACTCATTTACCCTCATAAAGTCTATGCACTCTCCCAACCCCCTTGTCTGTAAGATCTAGAACTGGTTGTTCTATCTATCCACACATTCTCTTGTCCTGTCCACGCTTTACTACAGCCCGCACCTCTGCTTTCCCCCACCTATCCTCCCTTCACCGACCTCCCAACATATCATCCTTACAGAATCCCACAGCTTCTGCCTTGACAACCTGTTCTTCTTCCTCAGACGCATAAATATCCTTCACTGATCTAATTCCCTTACCTAAACCACCATAACCCATTCCCTCATCAGCTCCCTTACCCATCTTCAACCATTCAATATTACTCTAGATAGTTGACGCATAACAACTATCACCTGCCATCACTCTTTACTATACCTTCCTATAGTGCTATATAACCTTAGATGCCTAGCACATTTATTTCGCTTTTAACCATTAACCATTAAACATTATAAAATACCGTATGTCCTACCTCCTTTATAAAGCACTATACTTTGCAGTTATCCGCATTTTCCTCCGCCGCTTGATCACAATCATTTCAGTCTACTTCTTTCCTTCCCTCCCTATTGACTTTTTAGAAATTGAGACTACTTCCCCAACTCCAACCACCTTTCCTAATAGTTGGAGACTTACTGTCGTTATACCCTCTGGGATGACTCTACTAGTAATACCAGGGGTCGCCTCTTGGAACAATTTCTCTCCAACACTGACCTTATTCTCCTAAATTCCAACCATCCCATTCACGTCGACATGCGTACCCAATCCTTTTCATGCCTTGACCTTTTCTCTTTGCTCCTACCCTTCAATGACTTCCATTGGTCAGTCTTAGAAATCTTTCACTCTAGTGATCACTTCCTATTCTTTACTGTACATCCTATATCCCACTCCCCAACCCCCCTCGCTGGTGCTTTGATAGAGCAGACTGGAATACCTTTACCTCTCTCTACTCTTGACCTTCCTCCATCATCCTTCTTTTCTACTTCAGAAATGCTTCAAAACTTCACAGCTAATGTACTAAATGCAGACTATACAACCATCCCTCGAACCTCACGATCTTACACTTCAAAATATGTTCCATGGTGGAAGCGTGTAGCGTGGAACAGCTACCGTTACATGAGAGGCACCCCCAGTCAATTAACAGCATTCATTTTTTTAAAAATAAAAACATCAGCCCACCCTCGCCTTACAATCCGCATTTTTTTTTTTTTTTTTTTTTTTTAACAAAAACGTGACGTCCACCCTCGCCGTACAATCCGCATTTTCATGACAAACAGCTGGCAAAACTATGTATCCTCCGTGACATCCTCTAAACCAATGTCTACAGTCTGGCGGCGGATCCATAAATTATTAGGAAAGCATCCTCCTCATCCTGTCTCCGTCCTCTATAATCATAATAACCTCATCTCTGACCCTCTTCAAGTAGCTACTGAACTTGCTTCCTTTTTTAGTCAGGTCAGTAGTGGTTCTTACACTTCTCACTTCTCTTCCTTAAAATCAGACAAAGAGCGCACTCCCATCTCCTCCATGTCATCTGCAGAATCTTATAATGCAACCTTTTCTTCTTCTGAAATCTATAATGCACTACAGTCATGCCGCAACACCCATGAAGGCCCAAAAGGTATACATTATCGTATGCTACGACACCTTCCACCTACTTTCTCATCCTTCCTTCTTCCAGTATTCAATAACATATGGATGACTGGAAACTTTCCTCCCCAATGGAGAGAAGCAATTGTACTACCCTTCCTAAAACCTTACAAAATAGGTACCCTTCTTCAAGACTGATGTCCCATAGCCCTTACAAGTTGCCTATGCAAATTAATGGAAAGTATGATTAACTTCAGATTAATGTGGTACCTAGAATACCACAAAATCATCAATTTGGATTTCGTCGCGGCAGAAGCACAGCTGATCCACTGGCTTATGTTGAAACTAATCACATCAGCATTTGCACACTGTAAGTCAGTATTAGCTATCTTTTTCGGTCTCGAAAAAGCATATGATACCACATGGCGGCATCATATCCTACAGCAGTTATCTTTCCACGGCACAAGTGGAAACATGGGTGTTTTTATAAAATCCTTCCTCTCTGATCCTACCTTCCGTGTCAGATTTGCCTATTCTCAGGTGTCCCACAAGGTAGTGTACTAAGCACCAACATTGATTTTCATAGCTGTAAACGGATTAGTTTCAGCTCTACCACCAAGAATCTGGTCATCACTACATGTAGATGATCTAGCCATCTTTGCCTCTGGCCCTTCCATACAAGTTCTCCATCCAGTCATCAGTGACATCAATCTCTTCATGGGCTACCAATCTAAGCTATCGATTCTCTACCTCTAAAACCTTCTCCATCCTATTCTCTCGTTCACGTATAGGCTCCCAACCTCCACTCCTCCTTTATGATATCCTTATCCAATTCCAATCTTCCGGTAAGTTCCCTGGTGTTATTTTCGACTTTAGGCTATCTTGGCGAGATCATATCTTCTCCATTAAAGAAAAAGCACGCCATTGCCTTCGACTTCTGCAAACCCTCTCTCACCAATCCTGGGGATCAGACCGCAAAACACTCCTTCATCTCCATATTACCCTAATCCTCTCCACCCTTGATTATAGTTGTCATGTTCTTCTGCCTCTCTTCTCTATCAGCTTGATCCAATACACCGTTGTGGTCTCCGCTTAGTCCTAGGAGCTTTCCGATCCTCTCCAGTTGAGAGCCTATACGCTGAATCATGACTACCATCCTCTCTCGACGTCACGCTCTTCTATCTTTCAGAAGCTATGCTCGTTTCCACCAATTTTCTCTCTAAGTTAACTGTCCCTCAACCTCTCCTTTTAATGTTTACATCGGCGGAGAGTCCCATCCTGTCCGACCATATGAATCCCCGTCAGTGTCAGAATTGTTGGCTACCATAAGGTATTTTGTAGGGGATGCTCTGTCTACAAGTTTGAGTCCGAAGTGGCAATTCTCAGATTCAAACTTGGCCTCACTTTACGCGAAGCCAAACAGGAAACATGTCGACGAGTCTATTCTCTAATTCCCCACTCCAATAATATCCTTTGCTCTGCCCCTCCCCCTCCCTCCAAAGATGTTTCTACATCTACCGCAGTATCTCTTCCTCTTCCCACTTCTAACTTCTCCCTCTCATAGTCAAATTCTTTTGCCATTGTGAATCCAGACCCCGCAATCTCCGCCACTATTCCACACTCCAGTTATAATTCCCCGGCACCTTCCCCTCTTCCTCCTCGCACAAGACAAGCTAAACGCTCCACCCATCTTCTCCTGCCGCATGCTTTCCTACAGCATCTCCCTCCACCCCTCAAACATCTGTCCCCTCTTTTCCTCCTCATGAGAAAACCTTTGTTTCTCGGAACTCCCCAACCAACTTAAACTTCAGAAACTCGCTAAGACATCCAGAACTATCTGCTCCCATTCCTTCTAGCACTCCAAGTAACTGCCGACGTCCATCCATCCTCTTCATGGTCCCCCTACACCCCTTCCTCCCACCCCCTCCCAACACATCCCATTCCTTTCTGTTTCAGCTGCATCATCCCCTCTTCCTTACCCATTTTCCCTTCCGCTTCCCCTTGGAACTCGCCCTCTGCCACAACAACCCCTTCCTTGGATTCTCTTCCTCCTGACATTTTACCAGAAACTGTGATCTAATCGCCCTTAAAACCCCTTTCTCCTTTGCTAATCCCTTCTTTACCTTACGGACATCCTTGCAAAATCACACACATTTTTGTTTTGATCTCATGATCCTTGTTAATTCGTACCTTCCTGAACTGCTGTACGACTTCTGACGCAGATTTAGTCATCAAATAACCCCCTCTTCACCCTTTTCTATAGTGCTATATGACCTTTGATGTCAAGCGCATTTATTTTGTAACCGTTAACCGTCAGTTTTAAGGTGTATTTTTTTTTACTAGCAGTTTAAACACGAAAGGAAGAAGCGTGCAGGTGAAGTTCTCATTTTGCAATGTAATTTGAGCATTAGTGCTGACTCTCGAGTATAGACATGTGTATACGAAGTGTTCGAATTCAGCAATACGAATTACGGGGTAAGTTGGGAAAGGCAGCCGTAACGCTCGCAAGCCTGCGTTTGTATGTGTTCTCTTCAATAACAGGATCGTAAATGAGCTTGTCTATAGCTCGCCTCGAGTCGGTGAATATACTGTAAAATTCTAACATTTATATTCAAAAATCGTAATGCCGAAGACCTCTGGCCACTCTCCTGCTCTGTTCTCATATACTGGTCTTGAAGCCAAGAAACTAGGTGGACAGATGAGTATTAATGATATTAAACGACTAAATGATAAAACTTTACTTACTCCTATCTCTACAGCCCCCACCCCATTCCCCGCTCTTTGTTACCGTGTGTGGAGGCTTAGGAGACGGGGACAGGCCCAAGGCAAGGGATCACTCCTGCCCTGGACCTCAACCCTCGCCTCAAGTAATGTTGCATGGTCTCTTCTTCTCCCTCTCCTTTTCCTTTTATTCATCCCCCTGTTCCATTCACATCCCAAAGTGTGAGCCGTGCAGAGAGGATGAAAGGCTGGCTTGGTGTCAGTCATGAAGGCCTTCGTTTGCTCTTCCCTCTTCATCCTTTTCGCTGCCATACTAAACTACAAAGCTCTACAACATCTAACATATTGTGTCCTAATCGTGGACTCATTTTACCCATTTTCGCCACAATATCTTATCATAGTCTGTATGACCGTTCCTTACCTAGAGACTTCGCCTCAAGCCTCACCATATCGCTGTATTGCGAATACGCCGCTAATGACCTTGAATGCTGACGCGGCAGAAATAAATAAATGATAAATAAATTTTACAATAGTTGGTATGATTTCGTAAATTCAAGATATTGATAGAGGATTACTAAACAATAAACAATGATTTTCTTTTTCTTTTTATTTGCTACATCAACTATAAATTAAATAAAGTACGAAAGCGCATTAGACAATAAATAGTATAAATAACAACAGTATAAAAAAACACCGTGAACTCGATACAAAACAAGTGACGATCGCCTCCATCTACAAGACATGCAAATCGTAGAGCTTCTTCTGTGAGTTTTCGTCTTGCATCGCCGTCATGTTCTTGAGGGAGTCGAAGTACCGGAAGACGCTGACGGGACATGTGCCGTACATCGCCTCGCAGTCCACCTCGTCCTTGAGACCCAGCCTCTGCGCGGTGAAGTACTCCTTGAGGAGCTCCATGTCCGAGGATCCTCCTCCGAGGCGCGGGCTGGAGGGGGGAGAGTGGGAAGGGGGGGGGGTAAGTGGGGTTAATAGGTAGGGTGTGAGTGTGTGTTTTTCACTTTTGTCTTTTCTCTTTATTCCTCTCCCGTTCATACTTTCTCTTCATCTTCTTTTCCCTCTCCTTTTCCTCATTCACTGCCTCACTCTCCCTCCCTTCTTCTCTTTTTGCCCCATCCCCCTTCCCCTTTCATCTTTTACCTTTTTCCCTATCTCGTTCTCCTCCTTTCTTATTCCCCTTCTCCTCCTCCTCCTCCCTCCCTCACTTTCTCTCTCTCTCTCTCTCTCTCTCTCTCTCTCTCTCTCTCTCTCTCTCTCTCTCTCTCTCTCTCTCTCTCTCTCTCTCTCTCTCTCTCTCTCTCTCTCTCTCTCTTACTCTCTCTCTCATACTGTAATGAAACATCAATTAAGTCCCTAAGCAATTTAGCAAGCAAAGCCTCATGTCGGAGGGCTGTGCCAAAGCATGCCAACACATTCCATCCAATTATTGACCAATTATACTATTTTCTTTTCTACTATTCATCTAAACTATAATTCTGTCGAGTCCATTCCTACCCCAGGATTCCAAATGACGCACAATTGCGTTTTTCTCCAAAAGAATCGAGCTCCAGGACGCTTGATGTTTATGCCGGACAGAAGGTGGACCCTGGCACTGACACACACACACACACACACACACGCGCGCGCGCACACACACACACACACACACACACACACACACACACACACACACACACACACACACACACACACACACACACACACACACACACACACACACACACACACACACACACACACGCATACGCATATATGTATATATATACTTATGCATATACTTACATGTATGTATGTATAAATTTATGTATATCTATATATCTATCATCTATTAAGCACGCTATTCAGCTTAACATTATCCCTTAATATATTTACCAGCATTTTCTTTAACTGCTTATCTTTAATCATTGTCATTATCACCGTCACCGTCATTATTTTTATCATAAACATTAATCTTATACGTCACACATTTGATAAGCAAGTAAACATGTCTAAAATAGTAAACAAAAATCGAGGTCGTCATATAAATTGATAATTCCAAGGTGACACCACCACCAAACTCATGATTGGGTTAGGTCATGAACACACACTTTCACAAGAATATCTGATGATATTGGCGTGCCCGATTTTTTGCGTCGGTCCTCGCCAAAACCCTCCAAAAATGTTCTAATAATGAACTCCTTTAAACCCCTTTCGCAACAGTATTTTGCCATAGTGGTGTATGACCTCTAATGCCTTGTCCATTTATTTGTTAAGGTGTCTCATAAAAGACTAGTATGGAAATTAGATCACCTAGGTGGAGTGTTAGTCAACCTCCTCGAATGGATGAAATACTTTTTTCCTGAGACAGATGAGCACAGTAATTAGAGGGAAGCATTAAAGCATTAACCATTACTGTTTGGATCACGGCCACGGGGTTTTGCAAGTGACTTCTCGGGATCCGTCGTCCTTTTCCGTTTCGTGTTTGGCCGATGTGAATGCTGATGTTATTTCAAAAGTAGTGAGAGTGTGGATTTCATTTTCCCAAACTACCAAGGAGGATACTGTTACTTGGTACGCACGCACACACTCTCTCTCGG